TACGAGGGGCCACACCTCTGTTATTTTTACCAGAATCAAAACACTCACTCAGGCGCTGTTTTCCAACACTTTATCCTCCTTTAACTTTGACCCCCATACTGAGGCTGGAGGGACTTCTTTGGACCACTAGGGGGCAGCAGAAAGATTCACAAAAAGCAAATAAAAACCAGGATACAACATGCTGTCAAAAACTGCAGTTCCCAGAGTGTCCACCAGGGGCTGTCTTCTACTGCGAGCAGGTCCCAATGAGTCCAAAGACAAAGGCCCAACTGAACAAGTGCATAATGAAGGTCCAAGTCACAAAACTTTCGGCCACAAGTCCGTCAAGTCCCAAGTCTCCGATTAAAAGCGAGGACAAGACTTCGTTAAGTCTGTTCTCGTGCGAGTGAGCTCAAGTCTGGTCACATCTTTGACTTTTCCAAGTCAAGTCCGACATTTTGTGGCCAAAGTCAAGAAACCCGAGTCTGTGAAGCCACATCATGTTTTAAGCCTTAAGTGAAAGTCCAAGGTCTGATTCAAGTCCCAGGTCTTTTTGCTGACAGTTGAATAAAGTCCAAAGTTAAAAGTATTTGGGTCACAAGTCCAAGTCCAAATATAAGTCCTGGGACTTTTGTTTTTTAGTTAGTTAAAGTCTTAACGCTTAGAAATTAGTTCAAATCAAATCACAATTCGCAAGTCTTTAGTCTTGTGATCACAAGTCCAAAACATGTCCCAAGTCTTCAGAGGAAAGTCCAAGTCAAGTCCCAAAGGAAGTCACATTTCAAGTCCCAAATATTTACACACATTTTAAAATCAAGTCCAAACTTCTGGTAGCGAATTTAAGTCAAGTCCTGAGACTTTGTGACACGAGTCCAAGTCAAATATTCACGCGTGGCTATAAGTCCAAGTCAAGTCATAAGTCCAAGTCTGATGTGGATCAGGAACAAGTTCTTATCAAGTCTTTCGTCTTCTGCTCACAAGTAACAGTCAAGTCCCAAGTATGTGAGGAGCAAGTCCAAGTCCTAAGTTTTGGTGGGCACAAGGTTAATTCAAGTCCCAAGTCTCATGGTCTCTTGGTCTATCTGGACTTTGTTCACAAGTCCAAGTTGAGACCCAACTTTTTGGTATCATGTCCAAGTCCTAAACTTGTCTGGGACAAGTACAAGTCATGTTTCTAGTTTACAAACCCGGTTCAAGTCCTTTGGTTCTGAATCTCGAGTCTTTTGAGAGACTGATCTGGTTTTAATCAACATGATATCAAATAAAGACATTTGGAGATCTACGTGGATCTAGTCCAGGACCAGAGAGCCGGTTTGTCTGAGGTCAAAGCTAACAGTCATGACGGTATCTTCACCAGGTTACATTTTAATGTTAGTATCAGGGGACTTGGTCAGGGGACTCGGTCAGTCGTCCACAGACATGTCCTCCTCTCGTTCCTCTGAGCTGGTTTATGTTGATTTGACCCGTTTGGATGATCTCTGGTCTCTGATTGGAGGGTCTTGCGTCATAAAAATGATCTCCCCTGATCTGTGGGGAACATTCGAGGACTGATTCGAGCTGAAGTCCGAGTCTCGGCCTGGACCTCCTCACCTTTATCGAACAGGACAGCTGAACACAAACAAAGAACCGGCAGAGGACTGGACTGGGCGCTCAGTCTGTGACTGATGAGGACTTCTGACGTCTGTGCGTGTGGTGAAAACTTGAACTGAAGCGGCGCCCTGATGGTGTGGATTTGTACGCAGGTCCAGATCTGGTCTCCTGAGCTGTGATTTGATGCATGTAAAGGAGACGCTGAAGACCTTCTGTTCCATGTTTGGTGTTGTGTCTGTTTTCATGAAGATACTCTTTTATATCCTGCCAGTTTTCTCCTTCACAATAAAAGCCCCCTGATCCTGATGCATGCATACATGTGTTTCCAGGATGTAAATAAGTCTCTGTGTTCCATACGTCCAACTGTGTGTACACGTTTCAGGTTGTGTGCAGATGTTTGCATGCGATATTCTGCCCTCGTGCCTGATTATGTGTGTGTGTGTTTATGTGTGTTTATGTGTGTGTGAGCGTACAGTCCTTACCCACTGTGACTCATCTCTCTGGTTGCAGCTCAAAAACAATCCAGCGCAGGAATTTCCAGATCTGCTCCGTTTGGTCGTGTCCCTCCCAGAATCCTTTTGTCCAGGCTGGAAAAGAAACGAGGCAACAGGAGACTAAACACTGAGGTGGGTTTTTGTTTTTCTGTGGGAGACATCGGCCCAAACCGAGAGCTGCACTCTGTTTGTTCCTGAGGCTCTCTGCCTGTTAAAAAACAAAGAAGACGGAGTAATGACTCTCCGAAGTGCAGCTCCACCCTCACAGCCAAAGAAGCAGACGCTGGCCTTTCGCTGCACTCACACCTGTTCGCCTCATGAGCGATTATTTGATCATTTCACAGTGTTTAAATAACACGAGTTAGCCAAAACAAATCTTTAAATGTTGGTTCATCTCAGAGAATGAATCTCCACCCTGTGGTTTCATGTCTCCACCAACCAGGACCAAAAAATATGGGATGAATCCAAATGTTTTTGTTCGCAGGCAGGGCGAGAGAAGACGATCAGAAACGGATTCTGCTGCGAAAAAAAGGGAGGAATCGTGGGGCGACGCCCACACACACACGAGAGTCAGAGAATGACTGTAAACAAATAAAAATCCACAAACACGTTAAAGATGGAGGGGACGACAAACGTCTGAAGATGATCAAGACTGAGTCATCACGGGGAAAATTGTTCTGACTTCAAATGTCAAAACTTTCCTCAACATTTTCCTGATTTAAGAACTTCTCAAACACAAAACTGGGACTGGACTTTGGTGTCCGCTCAAACTCTTTTAGACAAACTTAAACTGGAACCAGAACCACAAAGAAGAGCCTCGAATATTCAACAATGACGCTAAACGTTCAGCCTCAGAGCGTCCGACCACAGAGGATCCTTGAAATGCTCCCATGGCTCCTGGAATATTTTTGAAGGCCTGTCGCTGCCTGATCCGTCCCGTAAACCCGATTTGTACTGCACATATGGGAAACGAACATCACCTCCTCTACTCGCCATCTTTGCGTCAGCTTCATCATCAGCGAGCTCGCCACAGTCAGACAGGACGCTTCGATTTCTAACAGCCACACTTTTCTTTTTCTTCCCCTGACTGAAGCGGAGCGCCAGAAAGTCAAGAGAACGGCGCCCAGGTTTACGATTAAAGATTCCTACTCCAGCTAAATCATAAAATTTTAACGTAGTTCTAAAAGGCTTGAATGAATGTGAATATTTCGACCAGGTGGTGGCGCTCTCTGTGGTCCAAAAGGTCTCACCGTTCTGGGCAGGAACTCTGGCGAATACCTCGGCATTAGCTCTGGAGCCTCCTGCTAGCTAGCCTGTCCCATCGCCATCGATCGGTAGAGAGGAAGTGACAGATGTTTCACACATATGGACGCAATATTTTTTTTTTGTAGGATGGTAGAAGAAAGTCCCGCCTCCTTTGCCACTCATTGGCTAGAAAAGCTGGAAACATCATCACACGCTTAAGCCAAACACGGGCTGTCGACTCTGTACATCAAACAGAACATTTCAGAACATTATCGCACTTCTGAATCTTCTTACCCTAACCCAACAGACGATGACGTTTCACAGCCTTAAACAATAACCAATCAGAGCTCAGCACTTCTAGCCAATCAGAGGCGAAGGAGGGCGGGACCTTCCCCTACCATCCACAAAAAAAAAAAGGCTTCTGGGACGGATTGGTTAGTGACTGGCCTCGAGGAGTCCCAGACGGTCTTTCAGGGAGTTCCAGAGGTTCTGTTTGGAATTCCAGGCGTTTTCCTGGAAGGTTTTTGAAGGTCCTTTACAGATTTAAAGGTTCCATCAGTGTTAGTGTGGATAATAACAGGGAGCTGTCAGCCAATCAGAGTCGAGTATTTCCTCCAGAATTTCACATTTTCTCAGACTGATACATGTGTGTGTGTGTGTGTGTGTGTGTGTGTGTGTGTGTGTGTGTGTGTGTGTGTGTGTGTGTGTGCATGTGTGTTAATCCCTGGTATTAACAGTGTCTAGACTACGTGGTCTCGGAGGTCCTCCCTCTGAGGGGTCACCTCCCTCCCTCTGTGACTCTCTCACCGGACCACAACTATGACAATCTTCTTCTCATCTCCTCCCTCCCTTGTTTTCTTCCTTGCTTCCTTCTCCCCTTAGTTCTTTTTACCCTATTCTTACTCCCTCTTCTTCTCTCCTTTCCTAGTTTAATTTTCTCATTCCCTTCCCTTTTCTCATGTCTTCTCATTCTCTCTCAGCCGTCTCTTCCTCTCTCTCCGTTGTTTCCTCCGTCCTTACTCTCTACAGTGAAGCTGAGACTCCCCACAGACAGATGAATTAAAACACCTCTAAAGTGTGTTTATAAACGCCCTCCTGTTCAGGTGACTCACATTCAAGTGATTTTCATAAACAACTTCTTCATGAGTGTGGGATCATTTAACACAGCAGCTACAGCTCCACCTTGTGGCCTGTGGATGAACAGCACAATCCCAAAACTCATGACCTGCAGTTTCTTTCTCATTTAAGATCCGCTGGAAATCTAAATAACCTATAACTCACATGTAGGTGGCGCTGCAGCCAATAGTGAGACGTCCCAGCACACAAAGATCATTGAATGTCAAATGTCATGTGTTGTAGTTTTGTCACTTTTCAGGACTTTTCAAGACTTTTCAGGACTTTTCAGGACTTTTCAGGACCAAAGCTGCAGAATTAGCCGAGAAATAAAGAAGCGAAACAGAGAAAACAGAATAAATGTTGGAGCGTCGACCTTAAAACACGAGAAACTCCAGGAAGAAAAAACTGAATAAAAGACAGAAGAATAAAAAAAACAAGGACGAATAAGTGTGTGTGTGTGTGTGTGTGTGTGTGTGTGTGTGTGTGTGTGTGTGTGTGTGTGTACACAGTAATGAAAGTGTATGGGTCTCCTGGGAGAGCTGAGTCACTTTTCCCTTTGACCTGAAAGTGTGTGTGTGTGTGTCTGTGTGTGTGTGTGTGTCTGTGTGTGTGTGTGTGCGTGTGTGTGTGTGTGTGGATGTGGCCTTTTGTCTGTGGTGGCTGTCAGTTCTGATGTGATTCCCAGATCCGACACACACACACACACACATAGAGATGGTCATTAAGTGGCGTCATAGAGGGAAAACGAGGGATGAATGGGTAAAAACTGGAGAGAGAGAAAAAAAAACAGGAAACAAGAGAGAGAGAGAGAGAGAGAGAGAGAGAGTTTGGACAGAAATCAATGAGAAAGAAAAGGAGGGATTAAAATAGAGGACGGACTTTTTAAAGATGGAGAGAAACATGAGATTAAAGTGAACGAACAGAGAAATCCTCAACCACGACCCCGACAGGGTTTCCACGGACCTGAAGATCTCAGCTCTGAGTCTCATCCTGGTTCTTTTTGATGCACAGTTCTTCTTCTTATTATTATTATTATTATTATTATTGTGATGATACCATATGAGACAGGAGAAAAAGACACAATATGGAACGATATGATACAAAGGAATACATTTTAATAACACACAATAATATATTATATGTGATGAGAAACAAAACAATATAAGATGAGAAATGATATGAGACGATACAATATAATAAAAAACATGATACAATGAGAGATGATACTATATGATGAGAAATGATATGAGACGATACAATATGATAAACAAACAAGATTACAATACAGTAAAATAAGAGATAAAACAAAACATACGATAAGATGAGAAATAGTATGAGACAATATAATAAAAAAACATGATAACATGAGATATGATACTATATGATAAGAGAGGAAACAATACAATATGATAGAATATGATAAAAAACACGAGAAAATGAGATATGATATGAAAGGAGACATTACAATAACACACAAAACAATACAATATATGATAAGATGTGATAGGAAACAAAACAACATGATAAGATGAGAAATATGAGACAATACAATATGATAAACAAACATGACAACATGAGATTTGATACAGTATGATAAGAGAGAAAACAATAAGATAAGATAAAATATGATAGGAGAGGAAACAATGTTATATGATATACATACATATATATATATGTATACATATATATGTATATATATATGTATATGTATATTTATATATATATATATGTACACATATATGTGTATATATATATATATATACATATATATATATATAATATGATATGATTAAAAACACAATACTATGAGATATGATACAATATGATAAGAAAAAATACAATTTGATTCTATAGAATACAATATGATACATTAAGATACTATTACAAGTCAAGATACAAAATAAGATGATCTGATACAGTTTTACGAGACACAATAGGATATGATACAGCGAGATGAGATACAAACATGATCGGATATGTTAGGATATAAGTTTACACTGAGATTTAATACGGTTAGAAGATGTTAGACGACTTGGTAAAATAAGATACAAGAGAACAAAACACAGAGAAACAACAGATGAACAGATACGTCATGACATGATATAAAATGAGCAAAAGAATATAATATGATATGATACAATACGATACCATACAACACAACACACTTCACTCTCCGTGTGTTTCAACGTTTGACAAACAAGCAGAAAATGAAGAAGAACCAAAAAACTGTTGATGTCTCCAACAGCTTTGAAACGTGGATTTACAAAGTCCTCTAAAACACGAGGAAGAGTTTCAGAGGAGCGGAGACAGACCCCCCAGAGAAGCAGAGTGAGACAACAGTCAGGACAAAAGCTCAAACCAGGCTGAACAGCAGTTCAGGAACCAGCTGTTCCAGTCCATCAGGAACCAACGAGGCCTGAGGACCAGAACCTCATTAACACAGAGCGTTAAACCGGGTCAGAACCTCGTCTCTGCAGGAATATCACGGTTAGTTCTGACGTTACGGTCCACGACTTTAGATCAGCCACATGTGTTCACATGGAGCAACCAAACAAGGACAGAGAGTGAGCTCCAGAGACTCTCAACATGTGGTTTCATGTGGATTTACACCCGGACTGAAGACAGGCCTCTGCAGAGCTGCTGAACCCAGAGAATCCTGATCAAATCCAGATTTACTCTCTGAATGTTCCCTTTTCCAAACTCGACTAAAGCAGACCGGATTACCTGGTCCTGAATATTAAGAGGTGTATTTTAAAGTCCAGGTGATCCAGGTCCAGAGTCTGGATCGAGCTGGGATTCATGAGGACTTACATTTCAGGGATTTCAGGTCTTTTTTCTTCGCATCTTGATCCGCTCTGGTGTTGGTGCTGACTCCGAACTGACCCCACCCTCCGGCTCCAACACTTCACCTGTGAGAGCCTGACAGAGTCATCGGTGTGCAGGTGTGACGCTCTGCGGCGTGAACTCCTCCACCGCCTTCACAAACACGAACACACAGAAACTTCAGCTTCAACAAACATTATGTAAACAAATGATAAAGCAGCTTTATGTTTATGTAAGGCTCTTCAACACACACTTCAGCAGCACACCCCGCGCTGACTCACTGCAGACACACACACACACACACACACACACACACACACACACACACACACACACACACACACACACACACAGAGCAGCTGAAGTTCAGCTTCTCTATGACGTTTAAGTTTCTTTCACAAAGTTCGTTCACAGTCGTCGCTCTGCTTCACCGTCCAGATTTATTGACGCTGTTTGAACCTTTTTCTAGGGTCTTGAATGACTCACAGGTACGGTGGCCTTTAAAGGTCAAGAGTACGAACACAACAGCATTTCACAAAACCCCAAAATGTCTCATGTTAATAAAAAAAGCACTTGAGTGACCATGAATGTTTTTGATGAGGAGCAGAAACAGAAAACCTAAAATTGTTTTATGAAACAGAGCAGACACAAAAAAAAAACTCAGACATCGAATTTAAAACAAAAATATGAAAACGAACAAAAAATCATCTTATTAGACATGAAAACTAAATTTCAAAAATTTCAAAGGTCAATACAAAAACAGTCTTGGTGTTATGTTTTAGAAATTCTTTCAGATGTTCTTGAAATTATTTCGTGATCAATGATAAATTTAATTTATTTAATGGATGATGTTCAATTCTGTGTTTTCATGTCTTATGGAATATTTTTGCTTTCAGGGAATTTTTTTCATTAGAATATTTTGTGTTTTTTTTTGCAACTCACGTTTTTGTTGTTCTTGTAAAATGTTTCTGTTTTTGGTGAAATCCTATAGAGATTGTCCTTCAGGGCCACCGTAGACAGGCTGTGATGTCTCAAAGTGTGTCCACTAAAAGATTTCCCATTATGAGAATATTTTTAAAAATGTTCAGTCAGGATCACTAACATCGGCAGTATGGCTCTGTTCTGAGAGTCCCCTGCCCTTTCATGGGCTTACATGGAACGCCACGGCTAAAAGAGGGGAGGAGTTATAAGAGGGGAGAGCTCCTCCCCTCTTATAGCTCCTCCCCTCTTTCATGTGCAAACATGAAAAGCCAAAGAAGAGAACGCAGCAGAAAATAAAGACGATTCAGATAAATACTTTGTCCTGAACTGCCGCTATACTTCATTTTTACCTCAGAGCAGCAGGGAGCTGCTGATCTCCCGCCGTCTCTTTTGGTTAGTTAATGAAACCCAAGGATAGACCTGGCATCAGACACAAACCAGGTTCTGGTCCTGGTCTTTGGAAACTGTTTGTGCAGATTGATCTTGGATTTGTTCAGGACTGAGACTCAAGATATTTACCAAAACCAGCGGGACCATGACTCGTCTCTGCGCCACCAAACCTGAGTGATGAAAACAGATGAAACAAACTGACCTCAGAGACGTTTCTGGAAACCTTCTCGGCCTTTTTTATTTTTATTTAAGGGTTTTAATTTTCACTGAGAAGAATCCAGCTTCACTTTGTTCAGTTTGATTCTGTGAAACTCTGAGCAGGATGGAGGTCGACCACGGCTGACGGAGTCGGATCTGAGTGTAAATTAGTCAGCTGTCAGGCTGAGTGACCGCGAACTCACCGGGTCAGATCTGCATTATCCCCCCCACACACACACACCTACACACCTGTGTGTGTACGAGTGAGTGTGTGTGTGTTTGTGAGGTAAATGTTTGTGTTTAAGTGGGTGTGAAATTATTTTCCTGCAGATGCAATGATTCATTTACAGTGTGTGTGTGTGTGTGTGTGTGTGTGTGTGTGTGTGTGTGTGTGTGTGTGTGTGTGCTCTCACATTTGTCCCATGGTGGGGCCCAAGTACAGGGAGCACACCAACGGTATGAGGCCATGTAACCTTGTGGGGCCCAAAATGCTGGGCCCCACAACGTTTTCTCTTTTAATAGGCTAAACAGCCTCCCCTGATACTCTCCTTGCTTTTTTTTCACTTGGCCCAAAAGGTGACAAAAACTATTTTTTGGAGTGTAAGTGTGTGTGGGATTTTTGCTCTGGAGCTCCCCCTGTAGGCGGGACCCTGAAACTGCAGCTTATACACACTCCAGGAAGTGTGGTTACACACTACAGGAAGTCACGACCCTGTCAGCAAAATCTCGTGAGATTCTACGGAATTTTGACCACCATTTTCAACACCACCACGATAGCACATAGCCATGCGGGGTGAACATGGAAGACTGTATTGCGATAGTCATATAGGTAAGTTTATCAAAAATCTTATTTTAATTCATTTTTACTCATTTTGTTCTTGTTGTGCCTTTCTTTAATACTGTGCTCCCCGTAGACTAACCAAATGTCATCTACATTGCTCCATTTTAAATAAATCAGCCACCATATGGAATGCTAAAATTAGCTGCTAACTAGAAGCTAAAATTGTTAGCCGCAGCTTGGCATGTTACAGGTAGTTAACTGTTGATTTTAAATTTATTTTTGTTCTTGTTGTGCAGTCTTCTGTGATACTTTGCTCCCAGTAGGCTAACCGAATTTCCTCTGCATTGCTACATTTTGAATAAATTAGCCACTATATGGAATGCTAATATTAGCTGCTAACTGAAGGCTAAAGTTGTTAGCCACAGGTTACAATACTTCAGGTTGCTAACTCTACGTTTTACTTGGAAAAAATATATGCTCTTATAGATACAATTATTCTGACTTTATATTTATTTAATTGTATTTGGTTAGCATTTATATCTTTTTGACATTTGACAAGTTTCTATATCATTTGACTCACTCAGGGGCTTTACAGATTATGAATGAGCTCATTTTTAAAAGACATACAGTAGTCATGGTGTTATTCTTTAATTTCTTGAGCTGTCACAAATCAGGGGTAGTGTTGTGGAGTAGAAAAAAAATTGTTTGTTGGGGAAAAAGGAGTAGTATTTGTCAAATATATTAATACGGGCTAATATACCAGTTAGATTGTCAGAAACCACAAGATTATAGACATATGATTCATATGTTAAACCTTTACTCTGGAAACAGAAACCTATAAATGTACGGCATGCTTAAGTACTCTCATATGGTTGGTCTGGTCGCATGTCACCCCTGAAGCTGCCGCTGTACACGTAAGTTTGTGTGATTTACTGAAGATTTAGTGGAAAAAAAGCCCCCTAACTCTGAATGGTACTGTGTGATTCGTTTAACTACACAAACGGTAAACATACTTTGCCCGCTACCGTATTTTGCCGTCGAGGTGTAGTCTTTTTACGGGTGTGTTCGGGTTTTTTTCAGGCTCAGGCCTACTGGAGGCTAAAGCCTAATGCTAACAACTGACAAGTCCAAGTCCTCTGTTAAGGCCATTCAATGTCAGGATTTTGTGTGAAGTGACCGCTGTGCGGTCCTCCATTAACTTCATTTAATGTTGGGAATTACTCTTAAGTTACCGCTCTGTTCTGTTGGTTTCATCCTCTGTTAATATCATTTAGTGTCGAGATTTAATATGATGATACTCGTGTGTTTGGCTTTCTACATGAATCACATGGTAGGTAGGTCCTCCATTACCATATTCTGCTGTCGGAGTTTAATATTTTTTACCGGTGTGCTCGGATGTCAACACCGCTGAGGCCTACTAGGTTTAAGGCTAATGCTAACAGTCGCTGACTCCGCATTCTCTGTTATTTAATATCGGGATTTAATCTGATGTGACCCGCGGTGGTTCACATGGATCATGTGGTGAGCCCACGTCCTCTCCTAATGTTATGTGATGTCGGGATTTAATATGAAGTTACCGGTGTGTGGTTAACATTAATCATGTGGTGAGTTCACGTCCTCTTAAAGTTATTTACTGTCGGGATTTATCCGATGTCACAGTCTATTTTCACTGATATGTGGCGAATAACGTCTTCTATCCCCTTTTAACGCCATTTACTGCAGAGCTTTAGTGGCTGTGTTTAGGTCAGACATCGGAGACAGCGATAAAATATTATGCCACTGGCACAACACCTCCAGCAGTCTAATTACTCCATAAATTTATATGATTAACAGTGGAACACTGGCATTTCTTAACATAAACTGTTCAAGTCTGAAGATTTGTTTGCAGCAGTACCAGGTAACAGGCTCACGTATCAGCTGTTTGTGTGATTTATCGAAGATTTAGTGGATTCATGTTCTCCTTACTCTTAGCGGTACCGTGTGATTCGTTTTACTACACAGACAGTAAACGTACCCTGTCCGCTGCCGTATTTTGCCGTCGAGGTTTAGTCTTTTTGCGGTAGTGTTCAGTTGATTTCAAGGCTCAGGCACACTGGGGGCTTCAGTCCGATGCTAACATCTGCTTAGTCTAAGTCCTGTTTTAATGCCATTCAATGTCAGGATTTTGTGTGAAGTGACCGCTGTGCTTTGTTGCGAACTCGGATCATTCGGTGAGTCCACGTCCTCCATTAACTTCATTTAATGTCGGGAATTACTCTTAAGGTACCGCTGTTTTGTTGTCTAAACGTCCTCCATTAACTTCATTTAATGTCGGGAATTACTCTTAAGTTACCGCTCTGTTCTGTTGCGTTCATCCTCTGTTAATGTCATTTAGTGTCAAGATTTAATGTGATGATACCCGTGTGTCCGGCTTTCTACATGAATCACATGGTAGGTAGGTCCTCCATTACCGTATTCTGCTGTCGGAGTTTACTATTTTTTACCGGTGTGTTCGGATGTCAACACCGCTGAGGCCTACTAGGTTTAAGGCTAATGCTAACAGTCGCTGACTCCGCGTCCTCTGTTAAAGTTATTTAATATCGGGATTTAATATCGGGATTTAATCTGACGTGACCCGCGGTGGTTTACATGGATCATGTGGTGAGTTTAAGTCCTCTGTTAACATATGTACTGTCGGGATTTCTGCTGTCCAGGTGTGCTAATTTCCGACTGTTATGTGTCCTATTAGCCAGTAAGGTGTACAGGTTGTATAATGGAATCAAAGTGTGAATCAAAGCTTTCTTAAACATGGAGAAGTGCAAAAAGTGCATTTATTAGTTTCACAGCCTGAGGAAAGAAACCGCTTTGCATCTTCTGCCTGACGGCAGCAGGGCAAGCAGACTGTGGCAGGGGTGGGTTGCCAGACCAAAGTCTTGCCTGGCATGCCTTTGCGGATTTAATCTTTTAAATAACTATACCAACAGAGTGTTTGACAGTCTCTCTCTCCATTCATATGATGAGTGCACAAGCCTCTGATCAAAGAGGGTTTTTTTCTGGTTGGTGGGCAGAGTTTTACACAGGTTTATTTGTTGTCTTGAACACCTGCTATCAGTGCAGCTCAGGAGTCTAGCATCTGTCCCTACGGTGATCTTTACCACCACCACATACAGAACATATTAACATAAAAATAAGAATCTGTCATTGAGGCTTTTTTGTAAGTGTTTGATTACTTGCAGAGTACTTTCCAACTGTGAATTGATCAAAATTTTTTGTTCACAGAGTCATAATGTCCAAAAGAATTAAAAGGATACCACCCATAGAGGATGCCAAATCTTATATCCGGTCCTCAAGGGACAAACAGGGGGTTGTGGAAAAATTTATCAATGATATTAAAGGTAAGATGATAGCAGGTTATTAATGCTGGGCTTACACTATAGGAGTTTTAAAATCCTACTAAATTCTGAAATCCTGTTGCAAGCACACATAGAAAGAAAATCTTGACAGACAGTCCTGACTGAAATCTCTAACATGTACACACTACAAAACGATTGAGTCTGAGCTGCGGTGAATGTCTTTATGATTCCCGGAACAGAAATACATTTTGCAATCATACATTTTACATGACTGATGACTAGATGGGAGTCACATAGTTATGTTAAGTTTAAATATAAACCTGTAAGGCCCAAAAACTGTTAGGAAAAGGATTCATGCTTACTCATCTTCATAGAGGAGGGACCAACCTATAGATCTGATTTCAACATCTGGACACCTGTACTTTATTCTTTATGTGAAGGTTTATGATGACTAGATTTTTTTCCTTTGATGAGTGTGTGATTTGTTTAATCTTCTCTACAGGGAGAGGTGTGTTTGCAACTCAAAAAATACAAGCAGGTGACTTTGTGCTGGAGTACCGGGGTGAGCTCATCACTCTGGAACAATGCAAAGAAAAATGCTACTCAGAAACACAGAGTACATTTTTATACGAATTCCAGTGGCAGAAACAGCAGTGGTGGTAAGCATAAAATGATTCCTATCTTGTAGTGATCAAAAACATTTTTATCAAAGTGCTGAAACTCGGGTTTGAGTTGCTAAAATAATGAAAGAGAAAACTGTCTTTACTTACATGTATGTAGAGGATCATAACAGTCGGTCATGGTGAGTTGATTGTTTAGTAACCCTAATCTCAAACTGTCATGGAGATAAATCTGATGTGCTGTGTTTTGAATGTCTGTGTTGATAAAACAGAGCAGATATAAACTAGGGCTGTCATGATGTCAGGGTTTTAACCATAGACTGTATATAGAATGGACAGAGTCTGCCTCCTCACTGGGTGAAGCCACTCTGAGAACAGCATCCTCTGTTGACGGGCTGCAGTATAGGCCCTGATATATTTTGATAACTAAAGTATACCCTTCATGAAGTGTGATATTTCAGTTGTTAAGTTTAATTACTTGCTGTTTTTTCTTTTAGCATTGATGCATCCAAAGAGGATGGTTCCCTCGGACGATTGGCCAATGACAACCACAAATCTCCGAACTGCACCATGAAAAAAGTAATTGTAAACAATAGACCACACTTGTGCCTGTTTGCAGTGAAAGATATAGCAATTGGAGCTGAGATAGACTACAACTACGGCAGTGCAAAATGGCCATGGCGCACAAAGGTGAGTTAGTCGGATTTTGACTTTTTCATGCTATATGACACCTGAAATGCATACTACTGTATTATGTGAAAATGGAGTCTGTATTGTGCTAGCCATAGTAAAGCAAGCATGGTTCACTGCAATATATATGTACGATTGCTATCTGTGTAAAATCTAAGGGGGATATGTAATTTTTGTTTTATGTCGAAAAAACAAACAGCAGGCTCCAGCTGTGGCTGTGGAGACTGGGTCCTTACCCTGCCCAACATGGTCAGATAAAACCAGCTCTACATGTCCAGACCATACAAGCACACAGGTATTGACCTAACTGACATCACCTTTACTACCTGAGCTTCTGCAGAGTGAATAGTTCCCTTCAAAAAGACAGGGAGTATTTCTGGTCTTCTTTATGATATTCATGGTGTTAGATGGACTCCTGTTAGAGGAATCCTGTTTTAACCTGACAGATAACTTTGTTTAACTGTCATAGATACTAACTAATCAGACACAAATATCTCTAGACTCCTACAGAAAAGGAGCCTCAATAAGTATCCTCTTCTTTTACACACACTGTCCTTCGTTCTGCTTTGTGGGGTCCATAGCAAGAGTCTTTCTCAAAGAAATTTTTCTTTATTTGAGTCCACACACACACACGGTGGTTACAGTATATCTTTGTGGGGCCCTCCGTAGGAGTCTGACTAAAAGCTGTAAAATATGAAGAAATCATCCAATCTAAATATCGAACAGAAAAGCATTATGGGTGTAATCAAACCCCTGATTTTCTGATGTGTGTTTTTTTAAGCTATGGTCACTGTAATCCACTGTAGCCTCTGATATGTTGTTGATGTTCGACCAAGAAAAACTGTCATCTACCTGGCTGCTGAATTATGCTGTTGGAGGACTAGTTGTACATAAGTAAACAGTGGGGAATTGTCATAATCTCCAATTAAACACAAACTTATCACTTCATTATGATGTCTTCCTTTTTAACTGATATGTTTGTCAACCCAGCAGGCTCAAGCTGTGGCTGAGGAGACCGAGTCCTTAGATGCTGATCTTTCATGTCCAGATGATACAAGCATACAGGTAATGAACCAACTGACATCACCTTTACTACCTGAGCTTCTGCAGAGTGAATAGTTCCCTTCAAAAAGACAGGGAGTATTTCTGATCTTCTTTATGATATTCATGGTGTGAGATGGACTCCTGTTAGAGGAATCCTGTTTTAACCTGACAGATAACTTTGTTTCACTGTCATAGATACTAACTAATCAGACACAAATATCTCTAGACTCCTACAGAAAAGGAGCCTCAATAAGTATCCTCTTCTTTTACACACACTGTCCTTCGTTCTGCTTTGTGGGGTCCATAGCAAGAGTCTTTCTCAAAGAGATTTTTCTTTATTTGAGTCCACACACACACACGGTGGTTACAGTATATCTTTGTGGGGCCCTCCGTAGGAGTCTGACTAAAAGCTGTAAAATATGAAGAAAACATCCAATCTAAATATCAAACAGCAAAGCATTATGGGTGTAATCAAAACCCTGATTTTCTGATGTGTGTTTTTTAAAGCTGTGGTCACTCTGATCCATTGTAGCCTCTGATATGTTGTTGGTGTTTGACCAAGTAAAACTGTCATCTACCTGGCTGCTGAATTATGCTGTTGGAGGACTAGTTGTACATAAGTAAACAGTGGGGAATTGTCATAATCTCCAATTAAACACAAACTTATCACTTCATTATGATGTCTTCCTTTTTAACTGATATCTGTTTGTCAACCCAGCAGGCTCAAGCTGTGGCTGAGGAGACCGAGTCCTTAGATGCTGATCTTTCATGTCCAGATGATACAAGCATACAGGTAATTTACTAACTGACATCACCTTTACTACCTGAGCTTCTGCAGAGTGAATAGTTCCCTTCAAAAAGACAGGGAGTATTTCTGGTCTTCTTTATGATATTCATAGTGTGAGATGGACTCCTGTTAGAGGAATCCTGTTTTAACCTGACAGATAACTTTGTTTAACTGTCATAGATACTAACTTATCAGACACAAATATCTCTAGACTCCTACAGAAAAGGAGCCTCAATAAGTATCCTCTTCTTTTACACACACTGTCCTTCGTTCTGCTTTGTGGGGTCCATAGCAAGAGTCTTTCTCAAAGAGATTTTTCTTTTATTTGAGTCCACACACACACACACACACACACAGTGGTTACAGTATATCTTTGTGGGGCCCTCCGTAGGAGTCTGACTAAAAGCTGTAAAATATGAAGAAAACATCCAATCTAAATATCGAACAGAAAAGCATTATGGGTGTAATCAAAACCCTGATTTTCTGATGTGTGTTTTTTTAAGTTATGGTCACTGTGATCCACTGTAGCCTCTGATATGTTGTTGGTGTTTGACCAAGTAAAACTGTCATCTACCTGGCTGCTGAATTATGCTGTTGGAGGACTAGTTGTACATAAGTAAACAGTGGGGAATTGTCATAATCTCCAATTAAACACAAACTTATCACTTCCTTATGGTATCTTCCTTTTTAACTGATATCTGTTTGACAACCCAGCAGGCTATAGCTGTGACTGAGGTGACCGAGTCTTTACCCATCGATCTGTCATGTCCTGAAAAAACCTGCCCAACATGGTCAGATAAAACCAGCTCTACATGTCCAGACGATACAAGCACACAGGTAATGAACCAACTGACATCACCTTTACTACCTGAGCTTCTGCAGAGTGAATAGTTCCCTTCAAAAAGACAGGGAGTATTTCTGATCTACTTTATGATATTCATGGTGTTAGATGGACTCCTGTAAGAGGAATCCTGTTTTAACCTGACAGATAACTTTGTTTAACTGTCATAGATACTAACTAATCAGACACAAATATCTCTAGACTCCTACAGAAAAGGAGCCTCAATAAGTATCCTCTTCTTTTACACACACTGTCCTTCGTTCTGCTTTGTGGGGTCCATAGCAAGAGTCTTTCTCAAAAATTCGATATTCTGAAGTCGCCCAAACAATAAAATGCAAAATGGCTCCATAGCGCCCCCTAAGGTGGAAATTCACACTATTGACTGTCACGCCTGTACGCTTTGTCATATTGACACAAAAATTGACACACATATGTATCTCAATAAGATCTACAAAAAAGTCAGTGCGGGCGTATCTGTCAAATGTACGGTTAAAGGGTTATTTCGCATTTTTTGCCGATCCGCACACATTGGAATTTCGCTAACTCCTCCGAAGGCTTTCGTTCCACCGGCACCACATTTGCTCAGGCCAATCTACACCCCGTGGCCATTAAAAGTTATCAAAATCATGACGCTGCACCCCACGGTTTAGGTTCTAGGGGGCGCCAAAGATAACACTAAAATCCACATATTTAAAAGTCTTATAACTTTTTATTTTTGTCCTCACTGGCCTCCAAGTTTTCTAGGATGATGCAATGTCCAGCCATCAACACATTTGTGAAGGAATTTTTACTCCCCAAAAGAGCGCCCCCCCATGGCAGGAGAAAAAAGTCCATTTTTTCTTGTCCCCTAAGGTGAAAATACACATTGTTGAGTGTCACGCCTATACGCTTTGTCAAAATGACACAAAAATTGACACACACATGTAACTCAATAAGATCTACGAAAAAGTCAATGCGCGCGTATCTGTCAAATGTACGGTTAAAGGGTTATTCCGCATTTTTTGCCGATCCGCACACATTGGAATGTGGCTAACTCCTCCTAAGGCTTTCGTTCCACCGGCACCACATTTGCTCAGGACAATCTACACCCCATGGCCATTAAAAGTTATTCAAATCATGACGCTGCACCCCACGGTTTAGGTTCTAGGGGGCGCCAAAGATAACCCTAAAATCCACATATTTAAAAGTCTTATAACTTTTTATTTTTGTCCTCACTGGCCTCCAAGTTTTCTAGGATGATGCAATGTCCAGCCATCAACACATTTGTGAAGGAATTTTTACTCCCCAAAAGAGCGCCCCCCATGGCAGGAGAAAAAAGTCCATTTTTTCTTGTCCCCTAAGGTGAAAATACATATTGTTGAGATTCACGCCTATACGCTTTGTCATATTGACACAAAATTTGACAATCACGTGCCTTGCCTGGTATCATTTTTTTCAGCACAACCTCACCTGTGCGAATTTACAGTTATTTTATCATGTTGACATACTGAATTTACACAATGGACCCAAATTTACACACAAAACATAAAATCCGAGTGGAAAAAAGTAACATTTTTACTGTGAAAACCACAAATATGTGTGATGAACTGTTTTTAAAACTTAAACTTCAAATAAAAATTGTAAACTTCAAAACATATGCAAATTTTTAACAAAGAACATAGTGATTTACCTCTATTTTCAACAAAATGCAGGCAATGGCCCAGGCGTTCTTTGTAAAATTATTTACAAAACACTGTATAGTCTCACAAATGTCACTTTTTATTTATGCCACTACAAAAAAACATGATGTAAATGATGCATGATGTAAAACATGATGTAAAAAACTTGTGTAGATCCTCCTCTATGTCAGTCCATGTGTAATTTTTCCATAATTCTTTGTTTTTTGCAGCATTTTTGTTAGTGTAACTGCAGATTGTGCTGACAGTGTCTATGGCACAAAAAAAAAAAAAATTAAAATGCCTCAACATGAACCCCTGGTGGTCTCTGAGGGTGAAACCTGCTAACTGCTGCAGCTCTGTCAGCTTCAGTCTCCCATGCAGAACTCTGAGCGCATGTGTGGCTCTGCACCCTTAGCAGCGTTGCTAACTCCTCAGTAAGGAAAGCCTGCTTCATGTCAGAGTCTCTAAACTCCAGAAGAAGTCGATAAAAGTCCCTTTCTTTCTAAAAAAAAGTCGTTAGGGGGTCTGAAAAGTCATTGAATCTAACAACAAAGTCGCTAGGTTTGCAACTACGTGTCCCAGACTGCATCCCTGCTGAGAGTCCCTCCCTCCCTTCTCATGTTGCAGGAAGAACGTAAGCACCCGCCCCTTGTCAATCAGTCACCATATAATTTTGGATTGGTTGTTGTGGTGAAGTTTTCCACCAATAGGAGAGATGTTGTGGTGTGTTTTTTTTTCTTTTGGCAAGCCTTTTCCGCCTGTAAGACCTGTCGCTAATGTCTGCATGCTATGTTTTCCTGTCTCATACAGCGCGATCGAGCGCCGAACGTGATCAAAATAAGCAGAAAAAAAGTATCACGGACATAATTTATCATAACTCTGGTTTTATTTGGCCTATCAACACAATTTAAAAACTGGTATATAGGTTGAGGTCCTCACTTTTGAGATAAGTTGAAACAGAGAGTCAACGAGGCTCCGTCTTGCAGCTACATCCGGTTAAATATGTCATGTGACTTGAACGCACACACACACACACACACACACACACACACACACACACACACACACACACACACACTCAGAGTCTGTTTTTTAGCACCTGCAAAAACATGCTGTTTACATATTTGACAAGAATGCAGAGGCTTCCTTTTGCCCCTGAAAAAAATCAAATTTCAAACACAACTTGACTGTTCATTTCTCCAAAAGACAACCATGAAGCTCCATTTCAAACCTGAAGCAGGCAGTTGGTGCATGTGTACAGTAACCTGAGGGGAGTGAGGTGACTATTTCTGAGGAGAACATGAGCAGTGAAGATTCACCTTGGAGCTAGAACAGGGACGTGCACATGATTATACAGGGGCAGGGGCTCAAGTTTTTTCCAGTCATTTATACAATATGGAAATTAATGTGAAATTAAACCACAAATATGTTTGATGAACTGTTTTTAAAACTTAAACTTCAAATAAAAATTGTAAACTTCAAAACATATGCAAATTTTTAACAAAGAACATAGTAATTTACCTCTATTTACATCAAAATGCAGGCAATGGCCCAGGCGTTCTTTGTAAAATTATTTACAAAACACTGTATAGTCTCACAAATGTCACTTTTTATTTATGCCACTACAAAAAAACATGATGTAAATGATGCATGATGTAAAACATGATGTAAAAAACTTGTGTAGATCCTCCTCTATGTCAGTCCATGTGTAATTTTTCCATAATTCTTTGTTTTTTGCAGCATTTTTGTTAGTGTAACTGCAGATTGTGCTGACAGTGTCTATGGCACAAAAAAAAATAAATAAAATGCCTCAACATGAACCCCTGGTGGTCTCTGAGGGTGAAACCTGCTAACTGCTGCAGCTCTGTCAGCTTCAGTCTCCCATGCAGAGCTCGGAGCGCATGTGTGGCTCTGCACCCTTAGCAGCGTTGCTAACTCCTCAGTAAGGAAAGCCTGCTTCATGTCAGAGTCTCTAAACTCCAGAAGAAGTCGATAAAAGTCCCTTTCTTTCTAAAAAAAAGTCGTTAGGGTGTCTGAAAAGTCATTGAATCTAACAACAAAGTCGCTAGGTTTGCAACTACGTGTCCCAGACTGCATCCCTGCTGAGAGTCCCTCCCTCCCTTCTCATGTTGCAGGAAGAACGTAAGCGCCCGCCCCTTGTCAATCAGTCACCATATAATTTTGGATTGGTTGTTGTGGTGAAGTTTTCCACCAATAGGAGAGATGTTGTGGTGTGTTTTTTTTTTCTTTTGGCAAGCCTTTTCCGCCTGTAAGACCTGTCGCTAATGTCTGCATGCTATGTTTTCCTGTCTCATACAGCGCGATCGAGCGCCGAACGTGATCAAAATAAGCAGAAAAAAAGTATCGCGGACATAATTTATCATAACTCTGGTTTTATTTGGCCTATCAACACAATTTAAAAACTGGTATATAGGTTGAGGTCCTCACTTTTGAGATAAGTTGAAACGGAGAGTCAACGAGGCTCCGTCTTGCAGCTACATCCGGTTAAATATGTCATGTGACTTGAACGCACACATAGACACACACACACGCACACACACACACACACACACACACACACACACACACACACTCAGAGTCTGTTTTTTAGCACCTGCAAAAACATGCTATTTACATATTTGACAAGAATGCAGAGGCTCCTTTTGCCCCTGAAAAAAATCAAATTTCAAACACAACTTGACTGCTCATTTCTCCAAAAGACAACCATGAAGCTCCATCCAAACCTGAAGCAGGCAGTTGGTGCATGTGTACAGTAACCTGAGGGGAGTGAGGTGAGTGCTTCTGAGGAGAACATGAGCAGTGAAGATTCACCTTGGAGCTAGAACAGAGACATGCACATGATTATACAGGGGCAGGGGCTCAAGTTTTTTCCAGTCGTTTATACAATATGGAAATTAATGTGAAATTAAAACACAAAGTATTAATAGAAAGGTAATGACTGTCCTGTGTAGGTGACAGTGATATCCAATAGGCTAGGCACTCACGAGGCTGGCTGTGGCAAGTGTAAGTGAAAGCAACACGCACTGGCAGGAAGAACAGCAAACGCCGATGAAGGAAAAGGGTCTTTGCAGTGATGGGCGTTAACAGAGAGCGCGATGGCCAGAGGACACAAATGGGACGGGGAGGCAGCACGTTGGGGGGGGGAGACGCAACACGGCTCGGGCCCGCCAGTGCCCCAACGGGGTCCTAGTTAGGGCCCGAGCGTAGCTGCTAAGCAGCTGCGAGAGCCCTCTTGTTCCTGATGGATTCTTCTTTTGTTATTATTATTATTATTATTTTTCCTCCGCTTTAAACTGGAAAATGGCCCACTTCCCACTGGCGAAAACTCATGAAATTTGGCAGGACGACCGGGCCTGGTGAAAAATTCGATATTCTGAAGTCGCCCAAACAATAAAATGCAAAATGGCTCCATAGCGCCCCCTAAGGTGAAAATTCACACTATTGACTGTCACGCCTGTACGCTTTGTCATATTGACACAAAAATTGACACACACATGTATCTCAATAAGATCTACAAAAAAGTCAGTGCGGGCGTATCTGTCAAATGTATGGTTAAATGGTTATTTCGCATTTTTTGCAGATCCGCACACATTGGAATTTCGCTAACTCCTCCGAAGGCTTTCGTTCCACCAGCACCACATTTGCTCAGGCCAATCTACACCCCATGGCCATTCAAAGTTGTACAAATCATGACGCTGCACCCCACGGTTTACGTTCTAGGGGGCGCCAAAGATAACCCAAAAATCCACAGTCTTAAAAGTCTTATAACTTTTTATTTTTGTCCTCACTGGCCTCCAAGTTCTCTAGGATGATGCAATGTCCAGCCATCAACACATTTGTGAAGGAATTTTTACTCGCCAAAAGAGCGCCCCCCCATGGCAGGAGAAAAAAGTCAATTTTTTCTTGTCCCCCAAGGCAAAAATACACATTGTTGAATGTCACGCCTATACGCTTTGTCATATTGACACAAAAATTGACAATCACGTGTATCTCAATAAGATCTACGAAAAAGTCAATGCGCGCGTATCTGTAAAATGTACGGTTAAAGGGCTATTTCGCATTTTTTGCCGATTCGCACACATTGGAATGTGGCTAACTCCTCCTAAGGCTTTCGTCCCACTGACACCAAATTTGCTCAGGCCAATCTACACCCCATGGCCATTCAAAGTTGTAAAAATCATGACGCTGCACCCCACGGTTTAGGTTCTAGGGGGCGCCAAAGAGGACCCAAATATCCACATTTTTAAAAGAATCCACATTCTCCCCCCCGATGGCACGAGAAAAAGTCAAGTTTTTCCTGCCCATCGCTCAATGGCTCAAACGCATCGCTCTCTCGGCAAAACCGAAAGGAGGAGCAACTTGCCATTTGGATATATACTAGCTGTGTTTGTGCCCTCACTCATGGTCCAGACTTTTTTCAAAAAGGACATGGAGTTTGTCTGCAGCGAGCGTTTTGGTAGAAACTGCGCCTCCCATTCATTATAATGGTAAATGACCACAGACAAGTGCGCACACCATCTTTGGACCTTGAGTGTGACGCAATCGGGAGGGGTAGGCGGTCGCGCTGGGGGCGGCGCGACACGGCTCGGGCCCGCCAGTGCCCCACCGGGGCCCTAGTTATTTTTCCTCCCCTTTGAACTGGAAAATGGCCCACTTCCCACTGGCGAAAACTCATGAAATTTGGCAGGACGACCGGGCCTGGTGAAAAATTTGATATTCCGAAGTCGCCCAAACAAGAAAATGCAAAATGGCTCCATAGCGCCCCCTAAGGTGAAAATTCACACTATTCACTGTCACGCCGGTACGCTTTGTCAAAATGACACAAAAATTGACACACACATGTATCTCAATAAGATCTACGAAAAAGTCAATGCGCGCGTATCTGTCAAATGTACGGTTAAAGGGTTATTCCGCATTTTTTGCCGATCCGCACACATTGGAATTTCGCTAACTCCTCCGAAGGCTTTCGTTCCACCGGCACCACATTTGCTCAGGCCAATCTACACCCCATGGCCATTAAAAGTTATTCAAATCATGACGCTGCACCCCACGGTTTAGGTTCTAGGGGGCGCCAAAGATAACCCTAAGATCCACATATTTAAAAGTCTTATAACTTTTTATTTTTGCCCTCACTGGCCTCCAAGTTTTCTAGGATGATGCAATGTCCAGCCATCAACACATTTGTGAAGGAATTTTTACTCCCCAAAAGAGCGCCCCCCCATGGCAGGAGAAAAAAGTCCATTTTTTCTTGTCCCCTAAGGTGAAAATACACATTGTTGAGTGTAACACCTGTACGCTTTGGCAAAATGACACAAAAATTGACACACACATGTATCTCAATAAGATCTACGAAAAAGTCAATGCGCGCGTATCTGTCAAATGTACGGTTAAAGGGTTATTCCGCATTTTTTGCCGATCCGCACACATTGGAATTTCGCTAACTCCTCCGAAGGCTTTCGTTCCACCGGCACCACATTTGCTCAGGCCAATCTACACCCCATGGCCATTAAAAGTTATTCAAATCATGACGCTGCACCCCACGGTTTAGGTTCTAGGGGGCGCCAAAGATAACCCTAAGATCCACATATTTAAAAGTCTTATAACTTTTTATTTTTGCCCTCACTGGCCTCCAAGTTTTCTAGGATGATGCAATGTCCAGCCATCAACACATTTGTGAAGGAATTTTTACTCGGCAAAAGAGCGCCCCCCCATGGCAGGAGAAAAAAAGTCAATTTTTTCTTGTCCACTAAGGTGAAAATACACATTGTTGAGTGCTACGCCTGTATGTTTTGTCGTATTGACACAAAATTTTACATACATGTGTATTTACATAAGATCTTCGAAAAAGTCAATGGCCACGTATCTGTAAAATGTACGGTTAAAGGGTTATTTCGCATTTTTTGCAGATTCGCACACATTGGAATTTCGCTAATTCCTCCGAAGGCTTTCGTTCCACCGGCACCACATTTGCTCAGGCCAATCTACACCCCATGGCCATTAAAAGTTATTCAAATCATGACGCTGCACCCCACGGTTTAGGTTCTAGGGGGCGCCAAATATAACCCTAAAATCCACATATTTAAAAGTCTTATAACTTTTTATTTTTGTCCTCACTGGCCTCCATGTTTTCTAGGATGATGCAATGTCCAGCCATCAACACATTTGTGAAGGAGTTTTTTCTCTTTAAAAGAGCGCCCGCCCATGGCAGGAGAATAAAGTCAAGTTTTTCCTGTTCATCATTCAATGGCTCAAACGCACTGCTCTCTCGGCAAAAGCGAAAGGAGGAGCAACTTGCCATTTGGATATATCTTAGCTGTGTTTGTGCCCTCACTCATGGTCCAGACTTTTTTCAAATAGGACATGGAGTTTTTCTGCAGCGAGCGTTTTGGTAGAAACTGCGCCTCCCGTTCATTATAATGGTAAATGACCACAAACAAGTGCGCACACCATCTTTGGACCTTGAGTGTGATGCGATCGGGTGGGGGAGGCGGTCGCGCTGGGGGCGGCGCGACACGGCTCGGGCCCGCCAGTGCCCCAACGGGGCCCTAGTGTTATTATTATTATTATTTTTCCTCCGCTTTAAACTGGAAAATGGCCCACTTCCCACTGGCGAAAACTCATGAAATTTGGCAGGACGACCGGGCCTGGTGAAAAATTCGATATTCTGAAGTCACCCAAACAATAAAATGCAAAATGGCTCCATAGCGCCCCCTAAGGTGAAAATTCACACTATTGACTGTCACGCCTGTACGCTTTGTCATATTGACACAAAAATTGACACACACATGTATCTCAATAAGATCTACAAAAAAGTCAGTGCGGGCGTATCTGTCAAATGTACGGTTAAAGGGTTATTTCGCATTTTTTGCCGATCCGCACACATTGGAATTTCGCTAACTCCTCCGAAGGCTTTCGTTCCACCGGCACCACATTTGCTCAGGCCAATCTACACTCCATGGCCATTAAAAGTTGTACAAATCATGATGCTGCACCCCATGGTTTAGGTTCTAGGGGGCGCCAAAAATAACCCAAAAATCCACATTCTTAAAAGTTTTATAACTTTTTATTTTTGTCCTCACTGGCCTCCAAGTTTTCTAGGATGATGCAATGTCCAGCCATCAACACATTTGTGAAGGAATTTTTACTCCCCAAAAGAGCGCCCCCCCATGGCAGGACAAAAAAGTCAATTTTTTCTTGTCCCCTAAGGTGAAAATACACATTGTTGAGATTCACGCCTGTACGCTTTGTCATATTGACAAAAAATTTGACACACACGTGTATCTCAAAAAGATCTACGAAAAAGTCAATGCGCGCGTATCTGTAAAATGTGAGGCTAAACGGCTATTTTGCATTTTCTGCCGATTCACACACATTGGAATGTGGCTAACTCCTCCTAAGGCTTTCGTCCCACTGACACCAAATTTGCTCAGGCCAATCTACACCCCATGGCCATTCAAAGTTGTAAAAATCATGCCGCTGCACCCCATGGTTTACGTTCTAGGGGGCGCCAAAGATGACCCAAATATCCACATTCTTAAAAGTCGTTTTGGCCACTGCAGGAGTACAGAGTACTGCAGGATACACACACACAGACACACACACACACACACACACACACACACACACACACACACACACACACACACACACACACACACACACACACACACACACACACACACACACATACACACTCAGAGTCTGTTTTTCAGCACCTGCAAAAACATGCTATTTACATATTTGACAACAATGCAGAGACTTCCTTTTGCCCCTGAAAAAAATGAAATTTCAAACACAACTTGACTGCTCATTTCTCCAAAAGACAACCATGAAGCTCCATCCAAACCTGAAGCAGGCAGTTGGTGCATGTGTACAGTAACCTGAGGGGAGTGAGGTGACTGCTTCTGAGGAGAACATGAGCAGTCAAGATTCACCTTGGAGCTAGAACAGGGACGTGCACATGATTATACAGGGGCAGGGGCTCAAGTTTTTTCCAGTCGTTTAGACAATATGGAAATTAATGTGAAATTAAAAAACAAAGTATTAATAGAAAGGTAATGACTGTCCTGTGTAGGTGACAGTGATATCCAATAGGCTAGGCACTCACGAGGCTGGCTGTGGCAAGTGCAAGTGAAAGCCACACGCACTGGCAGGAAGAACAGCAAACGCCGATGAAGGAAAAGGGTCTTTGCAGTGATGGCCGTTACCAGAGAGGACGATGGCCAGAGGACGCGAATGGGACGGGGAGGCAGCGCGTTGGGGGGGGGGCGCGACACAGCTCGGGCCCGCCAGTGCCCCAACGGGGCCCTAGTCTTTATTTGAGTCCACACACACACACAGTGGTTACAGTATATCTTTGTGGGGCCCTCCGTAGGAGTCTGACTAAAAGCTGTAAAATATGAAGAAATCATCCAATCTAAATATCAAACAGCAAAGCATTATGGGTGTAATCAAAACCCTGATTTTCTGATGTGTGTTTTTTTAAGCTGTGGTCACTGTGATCCATTGTAGCCTCTGATATGTTGTTGTAATTTAACCAAGTAAAACTGTCATCTACCTGGCTGCTGAATTATGCTGTTTGAGGACTAGTTGTACATAAGTAAACAGTGGTGAATTGTCATAATCTCCAACTAAACACAAACTTATCACTTCATTATGATGTCTTCCTTTTTAACTGATATCTGTTTGTCAACCCAGCAGGCTCAAGCTGTGGCTGAGGAGACCGAGTCCTTAGATGCTGATCTTTCATGTCCAGATGATACAAGCATACAGGTAATGAACTAACTGACATCACCTTTACTACCTGAGCTTCTGCAGAGTGAATAGTTCCCTTCAAAAAGACAGGGAGTATTTCTGATCTTCTTTATGATATTCATGGTGTGAGATGGACTCCTGTTAGAGGAATCCTGTTTTAACCTGACAGATAACTTTGTTTCACTGTCATAGATACTAACTAATCAGACACAAATATCTCTAGACTCCTACAGAAAAGGAGCCTCAATAAGTATCCTCTTCTTTTACACACACTGTCCTTCGTTCTGCTTTGTGGGGTCCATAGCAAGAGTCTTTCTCAAAGAGATTTTTCTTTATTTGAGTCCACACACACACACGGTGGTTACAGTATATCTTTGTGGGGCCCTCCGTAGGAGTCTGACTAAAAGCTGTAAAATATGAAGAAAACATCCAATCTAAATATCAAACAGCAAAGCATTATGGGTGTAATCAAAACCCTGATTTTCTGATGTGTGTTTTTTTAAGCTGTGGTCACTGTGATCCATTGTAGCCTCTGATATGTTGTTGTAATTTAACCAAGTAAAACTGTCATCTACCTGGCTGCTGAATTATGCTGTTTGAGGACTAGTTGTACATAAGTAAACAGTGGTGAATTGTCATAATCTCCAACTAAACACAAACTTATCACTTCATTATGATGTCTTGCTTTTTAACTGATATCTGTTTGACAACCCAGCAGGCTCAAGCTGTGACTGAGGAGACCGAGTCCTTAGATGCTGATCTTTCATGTCCAGATGATACAAGCATACAGGTAATGAACTAAATGACATCACCTTTACTACCTGAGCTTCTGCAGAGTGAATAGTTCCCTTCAAAAAGACAGGGAGTATTTCTGATCGACTTTATGATATTCATGGTGTGAGATGGACTCCTGTAAGAGAAATCCTGTTTTAACCTGACAGATAACTTTGTTTAACTGTCATAGATACTGACTAATCAGACAAAAATATCTCTAGACTCCTACAGAAAAGGAGCCTCAATAAGTATCCTCTTCTTTTACACACACTTTTTTTAAGTTATGGTCACTGTGATCCATTGTAGCCTCTGATATGTTGTTGTTGTTCGACCAAGTAAAACTGTCATCTACCTGGCTGCTGAATTATGCTGTTGGAGGACTAGTTGTACATAAGTAAACAGTGGTGAATTGTCATCATCTCCAATTAAACACAAATTTATCACTTCCTTATGGTATCTTCCTTTTTAACTGATATCTGTTTGACAACCCAGCAGGCTCAAGCTGTGGCTGAGGAGACCGAGTCTTTACCCATCGATCTGTCATGTCCTGAAAAAACCTGCCCAACATGGTCAGATAAAACCAGCTCTACATGTCCAGATGATACAAGCATACAGGTATTGACCTAACTGACATCACCTTTACTACCTGAGCTTCTGCAGAGTGAATAGTTCCCTTCAAAAAGACAGGGAGTATTTCTGATCTTTTATGATATTCATAGTGTGAGATGGACTCCTGTAAGAGAAATCCTGTTTTAACCTGACAGATAACTTTGTTTCACTGTCATAGATACTAACTAATCAGACACAAATATCTCTAGACTCCTACAGAAAAGGACCCTCAATAAGTATCCTCTTCTTTTACACACACTGTCCTTCGTTCTGCTTTGTGGGGTCCATAGCAAGATTTTTCTTTATTTGAGTCCACACACACACACACACACACACACACACACAGTGGTTACAGTATATCTTTGTGGGGCCCTCCGTAGGAGTCTGACTTAATGTTGCATGATACAATAAAAACGATAAGTTTAATATTTCCACTGATGCCTTATCAGGTATTATCAGACACTTGATGACCCAATGAGTGCTTTACAAAGCTATGGTCACTTTGCTTCATTGTTGCCTCTGATATGTTGTTGTTAGGCCAATTACAACTTCCCAATGCGGCCCTCAATAAGCTTCTTCTTCTTTCACACACTGTGTCTTTTTTATCCTTGTGGTGTCCTCCATATGAATCAGACTTAAAGCTGTAAAATCTTTGTATGCATTCTTAATGCTCATTCCTTAAACATGGCTGACTCCTTTTGTTTGTTTGTTTGTTTTTAATTCTAGGTTTTGCCTTTAAAAGTGTTTTCTTTAGTAGATTACTCCAACAGTGAGAGCGATGAGAGTGTGACTGACAAGCCCATGTCTTCACCCTGTCATGAATTGTTTCCAAAGCTAAGGACAAATAGTATTCTGGTAAGCCTCACATCCTTCATAGCAATAACCTTTTAATCGGTCAATTTGACAAAAATCTACACTTGCTATTGAAACTTGCTTTGAACATCTTTACCTTTATATTACTCCTTTTTTATAAATAAAAAAGGAACAACATTTTTTAGATCTCTCAAGTGATGACCGCACAGAAGGCCTTTTCACTTGCAAGTCTGACATAGGCTTTTTATGAAGCAGTTATTCCTCACCCTATGTGATACTATTTTTACTTGTCTGTTTTGTCAGTACAAGGGTACAGCCATATAAAGTCAAAAACCTGTTTTTCTAACTACAGTTGCAGACTTGCACATTTCTTCAAATGTACATCTGCCATTCTAGTTGGCCTGCTGGGTGATGACTTTTTCTTTCCTTTTATTTATATTGCTCTCAGTAATCATTTTTACAATATCTTTCTCATGAGTGAGTGTGCCTCCTCACTCATATACTCTAATTTTTGCTTATTTTTCAGACTCATACATTCTTTGTTTTTCTCTCTTCTTGCTATGTAAATCAGAATAGAAGGTATATCTTAACCCTGAATTAATTGTCTTGCAGATGCAAACAGAACCAGATTTCGGTCGTCCTCTATGTGATTCGAGTGAGAGTGTAGTGGATGAAACCAGTGATGAAGATTCTGTAACGGATCATTCCAGCATGCACTCAGTCTGTGAACTTGTTCCAAAGCTAAGAAGAACAAAGAGTATTCTGGTATGCCTCTCACAGTGAATACAAATGACTCATTCATTGTCTGTTCAGCCCAAACTCCGTTCCTGTATTGTTATTAAAGACTTTAACTAATATGGTTACGTGTAACCCAGTATTACTCTCTTTTGCAGATGAAAGCGGGACAAGATTTTCCTGATCTTTACGATTCGAGTGATGACAATTCAGAGGTCCTTTTTAGCTGCAAGTCTGACATGGCTTCGCAGAGGCCAAGGAGAGGCTGTTACCATCCTGTAAGTCCTTTTTTTTATACTCTGTTTTGACTTGTAAGAGTGTTGTCAACCACGCTAAACAACACGACTTTCAGTGAGAATAATTTTATTAAGAGACTTCATTCAAAGTGGTATTTCATACATCTTTGAAGAGTTTTGCTGGAGGTCCCCTTTTTTATAGTTCTCACCTGTCACATTAGTTGTTTTATTGTTGATTCTTAAATGTAGTGACAGGAGCTTATTTTATTCACCTGATGAATTAAAATTCCACCCATTTTTCTGAATAAAACAAATAATTATCTCAGAATGATAAGAGAGACTCTGCTCAGGTTTCTTATCAGTTTTACAGGTGCTACTTAAAGTGGATTCCATAATGTATGGGCCAGCCTTATGACCTTGCACACAAACGATTAAATAAAGATGCCTGTTTTTTATTAATTTGCTGGAAGAAACACAATACTCATTTATACCAATGTGTGTTGTTTCAGTTTATTATTTTTTTAAAATTAGTATAATTCTACAGAAAACATAAAAGAGCATATGGACACTAATAAACACTAGGAAAAAATGAACTGATTAGCTGGTATTTGAACACTATGTTGTGCTAACCAGTGTTGCAATAGTTTTTATATTAAAGCACATCTTGTTCAGAAAACAGTGCAGTTTTGCTCTGATGAATGTCATTTTGTAACAAAAATGTTCTTCCTTTTTTAAAAATGCAAATGTAGTTGCCCTTCTGAATGCATTTTATTTCTACATATTTTTGGTCATATTAAACAGGGTAATTTAAAGAAAATCCCTTTTTTCCCCCCCTCTAAAGATTCGAAAGGTTGTAGGATCAGACCTTTCCAGTGTAGATAGTGGAGAAGAGTACATTCCAAATCCCATGGATGAAAGCACAGACAGTGACAGCAGCTTGACTTTGTCCCCTGCCAAAAGAAAAGAGAACAATCTTATAACGTCCATGCCAACCAGCCTCAAATCCTCCAGTCAGAGCAAGGGCAAGTCCTCCAGTCAGAACATGAGCAAGTCCTCCGATCAGAGCAAGAGCAACTCCTCCAGTCAGAACGAGAGCAAGTCCTCCAGTCAGAACAAGGGCAGGTCCTCTGGTCAGAGCAAGAGCAAGTCCTCTGGTCAGAGCAAGAGCAAGTCCTCTGGTCAGAGCAAGAGCAAGTCCTCTGGTCAGAGCAAGAGCAAGTCCTCTGGTCAGAGCAAGAGCGAGTTTTCCAGTCAGAGCAAGTGTGAATCTTCTAGTCATACACAGTTTGAGTCCCCCTGTGAGAACAGTTTGGAGTCTTCCAGTCAGAACAGTTTCACATCCAGTAGTTTTACCCATTTTGAGTTTTCTAGTCAGAGCAGCTTCAGTTCTTCAAGTCAAAGCAAAACATTTGAAACAAGCAATGAAGACACAGAAGACACAGGAAGAGCTAGTATGAGCGAAGAGGAAAAGACAGAAACTCTTTCAGACAAAGAGAGCAGTGCTTCGGAAGAGGTCTATGTTAATCCCGTTTCCAAGAAGGACGATGGTTCAAGAATGTATAACAAGAAACATTTTTGCTTTTATTGCAGGCAAGTGGTTCAAAAAATGTCAAGACACTTGGAACGTCAACACATGGATCATGTGGACGTTGCTAAAGCTTTTAGTTTTCCAAAGAACTCTAAAGAGAGGCGATTACAGTTGGATTACATCCGCAATCAGGGAAATTATGAACATAATGCAAAGGTTTTGGAAAACAAGAAAGGAAAACTTATCCCCTGTAAGCAGCCAAAAATAAAGAAAGAGGGACAAGAATTCATGCACTGCGTGTACTGCTATGGATTATATTCAAGAAAGGTGATGTGGAGACACATCAATTCAAGCCTGAAGAAAAGACTGCTAAACCAGGAAGAGCAAGAGTCCAGGCGCTGTGTGCTTTTGCTGAACCAGCTCCTGTTGGATATAATGATGGATACTGGAGATTTCTGAATGACATGAACCAGGACAAGATTACTGTAGCTATTAAACAGGACAGTTGTATTCTAGAATATGGTTACAGACTGTTTAAAAAGAATGAGAGGGTTACAACTCAACACCAGTACATGCGACAGAAACTGAGGGAACTCGGCAGACTGGTTCTTGCAGCAAGAGAGGTTGTACCTGTGAAGACTATCAAAGAGCTAATCAAACCTGAGAACTATGTGCATGTTGTTTCCGCTGCAAGATCCCTGGCTGGATTCAGTGAAGACACTGGAAAATATAAATGCCCATCTCTTGCACGCAAAGTTGGACACAGCTTGCATTCTTTGTCCATGTTTCTTAAGTCAGAAGGACTGAAAATGAGAGACAAAAAAACTGTGCAAGATGCTGAGGAATTTGCACAGCTGTATCAAGAAAGTTGGAAATTTGACATTGCAAGCCAAGCATTAACTCAACTTGAACAGTCAAAGTGGAATGCTCCACAGCTCCTGCCATTCACTCAGGACGTCCAGATACTTCATTCCTTTTTAACTGAAAAACAGCAGCAAGTCTTGGATGCCCTGAAAGAAGAGGTTTCATCTTCAAAGTGGAAAGATGTTGCTAAAGTGACACTGGCGCAAGTCATTCTCTTCAATCGCAGAAGAGAAGGGGAAGTATCCAGAATGCCCTTGTCTGCTTACCTATCCAGAGACACATCAGAAACGCATGAGGATGTTAATTTGGCCCTTTCTGAACTGGAGCAGAAACTGTGAGCATTTTGTCAGAATAAGTATCATTGGAAAACGAGGAAGAAAGGTGCCTGTCCTCCTCACCCCACTCATGAGGGAGTCACTGGATGTGCTGATTGACAGGCGAAAAGAATGTGGGGTGCTCAGCGAAAATGGGTTCTTGTTTGCACTTCCACATTCAGTCCATCACCTGAGGGGATCAGACTGCATTAGGCAGTTCGTGAATGAATGTGGTAACATCAAAAATCCTCGAGCACTAACTTCAACCAAACTGAGGAAACACATCGCCACGCTCTCGACTGTACTGAATCTCAAAACTACTGAGCTTGACCAGTTGGCAGATTTCCTTGGGCATAATATTGATGTCCACAGGAAGCACTACCGCCTTCCAGAAGGAAACCTCCAACTCGCAAAAATTAGTAAAGTCCTTCTGGCACTCGAGCAGGGCCAGCTGGGCAAGTACAAGGGGAAGAGCCTTGATGAAATCAACATTGATGTGAACGGTAAATTTCTATTATTTTGATGCAAAAATAAAGTATTTGAATTTAATGAACCGACTAGTGAATTAGATTAGATGAGTTCATAGCTTGGCTTAAACACCTGATCGATTCAGCTGTTTCTCATCTTTGCACTCTCAATGTTCAAAGGTGGATCACAACTCTATAAATCTTTCTGCTCTGTCATGTACCATTTCAGAAACTGTTGATGTAGAGGCTGGTTCTCAGGAGGACACTGAACGTGTGGAGACTGGCTCTCAGGAGGACACTGAGGGTGTGAGGGCTGGTTTTCAGGAGGACACTGATGGTGTGGAGACTGGCTCTCAGGAGGACACTGACGGTGTGAGGGCTGGTTTTCAGGATGACGTGGATGGTGTGTAACATTGATTTTTGGTTGGTGATTAATGATCAGTCACTGGATAGTAACATTAAGTGATGAATATTTAGCATTTCATATTGTATGAAGGACCACTCTTTGTTTGGGTTAAGTCTATATAGTGCTTTCTGTGATAGCATGTAGGTATTCATAACAAGGAAATGTCAGTCAAACTGAGCTGATTAACCATGTTTCCTGCCCCCCAGTACATTTACCACAAATGATGCACAATCAGGATAAATTTTACTCGACCTAAAACCAATCGCACAACACAAGATGGGTCAAAATCTTCTTGAAACCTTACAGTGTAGCACCAGCTTTATCAGAGAAATGACAAATACGAATGTAATATGTGGATGTTTTATAACACTGCCTTGAGGCATACACATTAAGTTACTAAATACAGTATAACAGTATAACTACTTATTTTGTTACTAAAGAACTATCGATCATTTTACTGTCAAAACACTATATGTAATTATTAAACATTTATTTATTGATTAAGATTTGGCGTGGAAACAGCACAGTGCGCATGACTGTCTACAGCGGTGCTAGTTTGCTTTTGCATGAAGGGGAGGTATTTCAACCTGCTTTCTGTGCCCCATAAACTATTTTCTGTTATTAGATGCTGGTTCAACGGGAGCACAAAGGTCAGGTGATGAGGGCAGTGTGACATCACAACTACAGAGAACCTCTGCAGCATCTGCTCAAAACAAAAAGATGTTGAAGAAGAGAGGTGAGCCCGTTCATATCCTGGTACTTTATCTTCTGAAAGAAAAAATGTTTGCACAATACTCAGTGTAAATGCATCAATAAATCTATTGTGACTAGAGTCATTAATATGATGCAGTCCAGTAAAACTACTGACAGGAATGAATAGGTATGCTATTTATATGAATGATACTACCTTTACTCTAGGGAGAAGTGGTGCAATAATGGGTGAAACATGTATTTGCTGATGTGTAGAAGAAGAATAATAAGAACTTAATTAATCCCCGAACGGAAATTCAATTGTCTATTGTCTCACATATGTCTCTTACAGTTATCTACTATTTACATAAGAGTTATAAAGTCCGACGGCTGTGGGTACAAAAGATCTTCTGAGTCTTTTTGTCCTGCAGCAAAGAGAGAGGAGCCGTCCACCACCATTGGCCCTATGGTTGATCAAGGTGTTGTTAAGTGGGTGATCCATGTTCTGTTGACAAATAAAGCCAGACCTCCTCTTTTCTTCTTGCCACTAGCTTGAGTATCTCTGTCTGACCTTATAAGAGTGAAACCAGGTAGATCCACACTGGAGTCCGAGATGTTTTGATTCAACCAGGTTTCAGTAAAAAACAGGAAACTACACTCATGGTATGCTTTCTCAGTCTTCACCAATATCTCCAGCTCATCGCTTTGTTGGGCAGAGAGTTGACGTTTCCCATGATTATTGATGGAAGAAAGGGTTTATATGCCCACTTCCTAGCAATCAGCTTTGCCTTCATCTTTGCACCAGCACGGCAACCACGATAACGAAATGTTAGGAATATAACTTCTGTTCCCTGAAGGAGAGGAACAAGGTACAACACCTATAGTAAGGGATGTCACGCCCTCGCGTGGCCTCACTGAAGACACCTTTATTCACGCCTTTAAGGCAGATGATCTGTGGTGACGTCTGGGAGGAGGCTCCACCTGCACATATATACGTGTAACACCACAGTGATCCTTCAGTTCGATAACCGCTCTTCAGCGAGCCTAGCTGCGCAGTGGGGCAACCCAGTGTTGTACCTCATACATCCCCCTGGAGAGAAGGTCCACCCAAGGTTTAAGTGACCCTTAATGAGGCTCTTAGTGACAGAAAATGAGCACTGCACCATAGCAACAGAGAGTGAGACAGTTTTAACAGGGGAAGAGAGCAGGTCCCTCCCTGTTTGTTTATGTAGGAAACCACGGTTGTGTTGGCCGTCCTGATAAGAATACGATGGCCTGTAAGAACAGGACGAAAATGCCTCAGAGCTAATAGGATAGCTAATAGCTCCAGATAATTACTGTGGAGCTTGCATTGTGCTGGCGTCTACACTCCTCTCACTGCTGCGCCCTCGCACAGTGCCCCCCGACCCGTCAGGGATGCGTCTGTGGACACCACCTTGCAAAAAGACACCCTCCCTATTGGAGATCCCTCTAGTGGAAAACCAGGTTCTATCCACAGGAGAAGAGCCGACATGCTGGACGGAGTTGTTGTCAGCCTCTGCTGGAGGTGACGCTGGGTCCAGCGTTGAAACGCTCTCATCTTTTAACAGTCCAGGGGGCACTACAGCGATCATAGATGCCATTGTGCATGTCAGCTGTAAAATCATTTGGAAACACAGTTTGCGTCCCGACAGAAATTGTGCAACGCAGCGGCGAAACGCAGCCACCCTGTGTTCTTACAGACGTGCTCGGCTTGAAACGGAGCATATTTCCAGCCCTAGAAATGATGCCTGTTGACTCGGAGTCAGTGAACTTTTCTGTAAATTTACCGAAAAGCTCAGTGTTTGGATGTGCATTAGGGTCAATGACAGCTGAGCTGTTGCTCGCTCTCTGGAGCTTGCAATTAGCGCCCAATTGTCCAGATAGGCTAATGCGAACACCTTTCTCCCGTAGCGGAGCCAATGCCGCCTCGACACATTTGGTGAATGTTCGGGGGGTGAGTGATAAGCCCAATGGCAGCACCAGGTGTTCGTAGGCTATGCCCTCGAATACAAACCTTAGAAAGTGACTGTGGTCCGGATGAATCGCTATGTGAAAGTAAGCATTTGTCAGATCGATAGTTATAAACCAATCTCCCAGTCTGATCACGCCCAGTAGCTGTCTGAGTGTTAGTAACTTGAACCTGTTGGTATTAAATTAACACTCGCAAGTCTAGGTAAGGACGGAGCCCGCCTCCTTTTTTTCGGAACAATGAAATAGTGGCTGTACCAACCTTTGTCGAATTGTCTGTTGTCATCCAGATTGCCTTTCCTCAATGGAAGGAGCTCTTGAATAAACTCTTCAGCCAGGAGAAGTATCCATCAGAAGCCAACAAAATGACAACAAAAATCTAGCAAAAGTTACAAAAATTTCAGATGCTACGGAGAAACCAGACTTGCAGCAACCTCTCAGTTCAAGCACATCATTTGAATGAGAGAGAGGGAGACTTAGGGAGGCTTCGTATTCCTAAGGTCTTTAAAGTCATAAAAGCTTGAAGAGAGACATTAGCCCAGTTTAATCACTAAAGGATATCAAACTCAAACTTTGTAGTCAGGGCTAGAAATTCAGAAGTTTCTTTATATTTCGGTGATGTATTTGCAGAAGTTTTCAGCATTATTAGAAGACTATCACTCTGTTCCAAAAAGTTTATATTATGTGACTTTTATGAGTTTTAATACTCATGTTGTCATCTCATCAACTTTTGTGTTGTTACTGTTCATGCCTGAAGTATTGACTTAAACAATTATACAAGCTAAGTTTGAGCTCTAAAGGACGATATATGTGACAAAATTTTCAGTGTAGACTTAAAGGTGAAAATCTAGCTTGAGCACTAAATCTTAAACATGTTTGTTTTCAGGTAAACAGACGGTCATTAAGAGAAGCTGGAAACCTGAAGAGTGTACCGCAGTCCAGAAACACCTCAGGAAATTCATAGTGATGAACCAGGTGCCAGGGAAAGCAGATTGTGAACGCTGCATTGCAGCAGAACCCGAGGCCTTAAAGGACAGAGACTGGAAGGCAATCAAGTACTACGTCAAGAATCGAATTTCTACTTTAAGAAGAAAGCTTGAATAAAGGTACCCAACAGTAAAGCAGGGGGGTAGAATGTTCTGTATTTAACCACAAATGTATGTGCCCCTCAGAAGTGGCCACTATTGAAGGTAGAGTGAAGTATTTCATGTTCATATTTCTGAAAGCCCTGCACATTCACAAGGATTCTTGATTTTTATTTTTATTTTTTGTTTATTTACTTTTTTGTTACATGATCTCAGGTGCAGCATGTTTTTTTTAAGGCTGGCTCTTTTCTTTCTATAAAAAATTTGTAATGTTCCAATGTCATGCTCCTAATTTAAATGTAAGGCACCATGTTCAAACAAATATATACCAAGTTCAACATACTCTATGTTGTAAAGTTTTTATTTCTGTTTTAATGAACCTTTAAGATCATACAGGTGTGGAGTGCTAAAATGCTTCATTTTGAAGTGTCCTTATGCTTCAGAGGGTCCATATTTCACTCATGTCCCTGCCCTGACCCTGAATGAGAGTGGATGAGATGCAGGATGAACACAAGGTCAGTCCTGTTGTTAAATTATCATAAAGAAAAAACATGGAAACAGCTTTTCCAGAAAGGCCCTACAAAGGTATAAAATCTAGAAAAGATGGTGTGTGTGTGGGAGAGAACCTCACAAGTGACGAATGCTTGAAATGGGACCTCACAGGTGACTGCAAAACCAGCATAAGACAAAAAGTTTAAAATTCTGATAATTTGAAGTGATGATAATTATCTAGATTTTTTATTTGTATTACCTGATTTTTTACAGAGCTGTAGCACCTTTGGAAAGGGTGGATCCCACAGATGGGTAAAAAACTTTCGGGCCTCACAAACGGGTTACACGAGTATGTGTGTGTGTGTGTGTGTGTGTGTGGAGGGAAATGGGAAGAGGATTAGACGGGTGGTGACAGTTTGGCGGCCCCTGAGCACCCACCCACCTGACAGGAGAGTTTCACACACACACACACACACACACACACACACACACCTGTGTGGGTAGATGTCCGACCTTATTCATCACATACATTACAGTGAGCCTACAAGGTGCTCTGTATGTGTGTGTGTGTGTGTGTGTGTGTATGTGTGTGTGTGTGTGTGTGTGTGTGTGAAACTTGTTGACAGCAGAGATTAATAACTGACCAATTAGAGAGCCCCTCAGGTCTAAAAGCCCACTCTGTGTTCGTGTGGGTGGGTGGGTGGTGAGTGTTTTTCTGGTCATGGGGGGACGCTCTTTCCTCACCTGTTCAACACCTTTAGCATCAGCAAGCTGCGCTCTCATTGGCTGTCAGAGACGTCAATCATGTAGAGTTCTATGATAAAAAACAGAAAACATAAGACTGTTACAGACAAATATCCTGAGGATGCAGCATCTATAAATTCCAGTTCTACGTTGAAAGGACAACTGGACTTATGGAGACGTTTCGTCTCCATAAGTCCAGGTGTCCTTTCCATGCGGTGATTTCCACTCCAGAGTAGATATTGTTCAGCATTTACTCAATAGTGTATTTGTGTTAAAGATTTGAGTAGAGATGGAAGATCAGTTCTTTTGACTGAATCTTTAGAATCGGTTCATTAAAAGGATTCGTTCAAAAGATTCGTTCACTGAATCGGTCAGTTCTTCAGAGCCCCGCCCTGTCGGTGCAGAACACCAGTGAGTGACACAGCGTGAGTGATTCAGTTCATGTCGTTCACTCAGCAGTTCAGTTCTTTTGAACGAATCGTTCATGAACGTCACAAACACTCGATTTGAGTCTTTAAAGGTTTTTCTTATAAATAAAAAATAAATGTTCTTGGTTTGAATTCTATAAAAATGGGTCGTGACTGAAGGATCATGGGAAATTGTGGGTCCCAGAGTGAGACCAGTTGAGAACCGTTAGAGAGGAGGATGCAGAGTCCAGGATTTCCAAAATAAAAGTCTGTTATTGATCGTTCAGACCTTTTGATTGTTCCGTCTATGATCTGAAAACCCTTCTGCAGACTCTCCTGGTCCTGCGGTGGTCTTCAGCGTGTGTTGGCGGTTTCAGTGCGTTAAAATCTGGTGCATTTTCTCTCTTCATGACTTTAAATTGACCATCACAAAATGATTGTGGAGCAGGTTTGATTGAGAGAAAACAAACGGAGAGATTTGATGATTGGAGTGTTTCTTTGATTGATTTCAGTCGCTGATGGAGGTTATTACAGCAGCTGTAGCGGAGGAAAACTTTCAGACCGAGGGAGTTTGTTCCTCTCTTTGATTCATTCACAAACAGTAACAGATTTTTCCTTTATTTGGCAGACATGTTTCATTTGGGCCGTTTGGGGGATTCCCTCCTCGTTTCCAGAGGAAAACATCATGTCGAAGAAAACATCTGACCGCCCTGCTCCTCCGTCTGCTCTCTGCTGACCTCATGTGATCCTCGATTTCACCCTCCACATCTGTGTTTTGTAACGTGCATTAACACAGAACAAACAGAGCCAATGATTCACTCGTATTAACAAACCCGAGTGCAGAGATGATCTGATGCACCGAACATGTTTTCACCGTCTGAGGATGAAACGCCAAAGTTTGGATCTTTTGATTTATTTTTATCATCGTCAACATGCAAACGTTTACATCATTTCATCAGCTGCAGGAGTTTAGAAAAGACCAGAATTCACTGCAGAAAACTGAAATAACCTGCTGCTGTATCCAGAAAACGATGTTTGCAGCAGACTGTGAGGGTCTCTCTAAGGATCTGGTTTTATCAGATTCATTTATAACTTTAGTATAAATTCAGTCTGTAGTTTTTCAAATGAAGTTTAGAGACCTGAAGTGTTTTTGTTCCAGTCTGTAAACATGTTTATTTATGATTGGACATTTTTACATGGAGCTCTATGGGGATTGGCTCACTTTGGGAGACAGCCTCTAGTGGACACTGGAGGAACTGCAGATGTTTGGACTTCTTATATTAACAGTCGAGGTGATAGTTCACTCAGGGCCGACTGTCATAGACCTAAAAAAACACTTTTGTCTGTAAACTGAAGAGTTATTTTGAACTCAGTCTGTTTAGTTTTAAACTTTTATTTAAAGTCAAACTATTAGACTTTTGAACCTCGTTTCCATGGCGATCATGGTCCTATAGTGCGATCTCCACAAAGTGAAGAGAAAAAAGATCGGAAAAAATCAGTTCACCCTATCAGGTGCATTGACCAATGGGAGCCATCCGTCCTGGACAGCTCCTATTGGTCAATCTCCTGCTCCAATCCCCTCGTTGTATTCGACACACCCCTCTCCCGTAGTTCAGACTCGTCCCCTCCCACTCTCCCGGCCCTCCTCGGGGCTCTGAGCGGCTAAAAGTAGCAGCTTAGCTACAGGAGCTGTGATGGAGAAGGACGCAAAAAACAAACACTTCTGCTCGCCACACCGCCAAAAGTAGGAGGAAAACGCAAAAGGGCGGCGTCAAAGAGGAAATGTGACCAAGCGAGGAATCTAACTTGGATAAACATCGGGTCTCTGCGATGTCGACATGGTAGCTGTCCAGGCAGCTGCAGATGGCGCTCGCTAGCACAGCTGGCGTTTACTGCCGCTAGTCACTAACAATCCAACATGGTGGATCCTGTTTGAAGCTAGCGTAGGATCTTCTGTCGGAAGGTTGGACACTTTTTCAAATCTGCCTCAACAGCTCAGTTTTTTTTTTTAACTGAAGCTCAGATCGTCGACCGTGACTTTATCCTGAAATCATTGATGCTATTTTAATTTTTCAGGACAAACTCTGTTAGTAATCAGCTGTTAAACTGCAGTAAAGATACAACAACTTCAAATTTATCCTCAGAATTCAGAGATTCGGTTAAAAGTTGAATATTTGTGAAGACGATGTTGATCCAAATCTGAGGAACTGAAAAACAAGGTGGTGAGTGAGAGACGAGAACAAACAGAGAGAAGAAGAAAACATGGAGGATTCTCTCATCCGTCCACACCCGCACCCTGACATTTCTCTACTGTCCACACACAGCTGCTGAGACACACACACACACACACACACACACACACACACACACACACACACACACACACACACACACACACACACACACACACACACAGAGTCATCCCAGATAGCATCACGCCCCTAATTTCCCATGGTGCATTGTAAACAGAACACACCCGTCCGCCAGTGGCAGCACTTCAGACAACACACACACTCATCCAAACACTCCAATATATGGCGTGCACACACACACACACACACACACACACACAAACAGCTGAAGCTCATCCAGACGCTGCTTCCTGATGCAAAGGCTCATGGGAGCCGTGCAGTTTCATTACACATGGTGCGTTTTAACTGTGACGGCGAAGTCTGCTCTGTAAGCTCTGACATGGTTAGCCTAGCTTAGCTCAAACACAAACAGCTAAAGGGGAAAAAAAAAACTAGCTTAGCTTCAACAGAAACAACGTCTTTTAGTTCCAGACAGACGACGCTGAATAATCGTGTTTCATCTGGACGACACGGCGAGTATTTCAGTGAAAACTTTGGAATCTGGGATGATTTAAACTCTGTGTTTTTTTGTCTTACTCTTTGACTCCCATTTTTAAAGAGGGTCAAATACGTGAAAAATACACCTTTAAGTTACACTTACAGCCGATGTTCGATTAAACACGACTTAACTATGAACGATAATGTGATTGATCGCATTTTAAAAATGAAGAGTTAGACTGTAGAAGTTTATTTAGTGACATACTGATTCGTTTATGTTCTTTAATGTCGTCGCCGTCGTTTCTTCGCCGTCATTTTCTTCCGCTTCATCTTGGTCCGGGTCGCGGGGGCAGCAGCTTCAGGAGGGAAGCCCAGATGACCCTCACCCCAGACACTTCCACCAGCTCCTCCTCCGGGGGGGATTCCCCGCTCCAATCGGATCAGAGCGGCGTTCTATACTGTAATATAATAAAAGAGAAAAGTCAGCGGGTTCACTTTGACTCTGAGAACGATGAACTAAAGAGAATCAAACCTAAAGTTTGAGAGCGAGTGAACCCGGAGCTCGGGGGACGGTCGACACAATAGACAGTTTGAACAGAAGACAAAAGAGGCTGTCATCTTTGGATCGAACAGCTGGATCCAATCAGAGAGTGTCCTGTGTTTTATCAGCCTGACAAGCCTGTCAGACCACACCGAGGGCACGACGGGCCCCGGGCAGCCGGCAGAGACGCTTTGGTGACAGATCGGCGTCGGTTTCTAAATGTGGTCGTTTTTATTCGAAGGGAGTAAACCGAAGTTTTACCGAACATGTCCTCCTGAAGTTCACCAGTGTAAGTGCTGGGAGGTCAAAGGTCAGGAGGTCAGAGTCTGTCCTGCAGACGTCGGGCAGGATGACGAGCCGACGCCGCCGAGAGGAAATCAGGAAAATCATTTCACACTCGGAGGGACAATAAGAAGCAGGAGACAGACAAATAAAATCCAGATCTGCTTTCAACACACACACACACACACACACACACACACACACAGGTTAACTAAAGTCACATTTGGGGTATTTACATTCATTTCCTGCAGACGTTTTCTCCTCTTTGATTCGCTCTCCTCCTTCTTTGTTGTAAATCACTCTGAGCTGCTCCTGCTGTCAGAAAACTGCTGTATAAATAAAGTTTTATTGCTTTCATTAATACCCTCAACTTTAAAAAAATAACCCTAACGTCTTTGTTGTGAGTCCAAGAAAAGGAGGTCGACATTTTACTCGGAGTGAGAGAGAGTCAGCTGTCAGTCAAAGAGCTCCGAGCAGATGAGGAGGTTTCAGAGTTCTGAACGTTTTTATTGACAAGATCATCAACTGAAATATCAAACTGTGAACTCATCAGCAGATCTGGATTCAGGAGAATTAACCTGTAGGACATGATCGCTCAGTCTGTCAGTGTGTCTGTATCCGGCGTGATCCGATTTCTTTACTGTTTAGACACGACTGCAGCGGACAGAACCTACAAACAAAACCATGAAGAGACGGGATCTTCATCAGCAGGAGAGTCGACACCGAGGAGGTGAACCTGAGGAGAAGAAGGATCCAGACCTGTTCTGACTGAGTTACACAGATTATAGAAGACCTTACCCCCAATTTTCACCAAATCTGGAACGGCTCCGATCCCGAAAGGATGGCGATTTTTGCCGTCCGCCATGTTGTGGTGGATTACAGACAGCAGGAATCAGGAGAACTCACAAGAACCCGCAGATTCACGTTCAATCTCACGATACCGAGTCGTCTCTGTAAAGACAGACACATAGACATATAAGCAGTAGATTGTGTCCTTCCAGAGGAGGAAATCTACTTCTAGACTTCTAGAATCAGCATCTCCTCATCCATGGTGTCATCGGGGTGAAATGACGTCTAAAAACTTTTCCCTTGTTCGTCTCCGCCCGTTTGCATGGTGTGAAATACGATCCTCCTGAAACACGGAGTGTTTTATTTTGAAAAGAAGCCGGATGTTTTATTTTGAAAAGAAGCCGGATGTTTTATTTTGTGTCTGTGCCCGACTTCCTTTCCAGCACGGGTTCATCTGTGCTGAATTTATCCGCCATGCTCCGGCGTCCAGAAAAAATAGAACTCTTATGATCAGCTGAGGAGTCCGGCGATCCGCAGAGGAACGGAAAGAAGTCGGTGTAAATTGACACGTTAACTTGAATGGTTACGATCAGCTACGATCGGAGGATACGACCTTTTAGGAGACGATCAGGATGTTAGACTCTCTTTGTTGAAAGGACAGTTGGAGTAAGTCCAACTGTCCTTTCAACAAAGAACTGGAAATCCTAGATGCTGCATCCTCAGTTTTAGACAATATCTCCAGATTTAGGAGCAACATCTGCGTCCACAGTGTGTTTTTGGATCTCAGATTTCCTCATTAATTGGCAGCAGAGCTCTTATGATGAGGAGCGGTCAACACTTAGATGTAGGAGAACTTTTCAGACTCTGAATAAAAGTCATCCTGAGGAACTTCTCCTGAAAAACTCTCTCTGGTTCTCAGTGATTCAGTTTTCCTGAAAGCTTCTTCAGGATTTTTCTCATTTTAATGACAATTTTACGGACGTTTGTCTCTGAGGAGCGTCAGGCAGGAATGGTTGTGTTTAATAATCTGATTGGAGCACACAGTGTTCGCCGTGAGGCGGGCGGTGATGATGTCTGAAGACAATAGAGGCTGTAATATTTAACATCCAACAGCTGTGAGTCTCATCACAGAGTGTCCTGTGTTTTATCAGCCTGACCAGCCTGTCAGACCACACTGAGGGCTTATTGTCCGACACTTCAGGAGAGCGAGTGTGTTCATCTGTGGGGAGAAGTTCACAAAGTGTGTGTTCAGTCATGTCAAGAGAGTCACGGTGTGTTAAAACGATCAAACAACGAAATACAGTTTCATAAAAAACGACGAAAGTTCGGACTTCAGATTCTATCGTCAAGTTTTCACTAAAAATAACAGAGTCAAAAAATACTTTAAACCGTGTGTGTGTGTGTGTGTGTCAATAATTAACCTCCATGATGGGCGAATGACACCACCAAGCGTCATGACACCCCTTAAAACTGCAGTCCCCCAACTGTCCACTAGAGGCAGTGTCCTAAAGTGAGTTTATCTGTTTAAATAATAAAACCTTCAGTAACTTTTGGAGTTTTTTAAAAGTTTTATTTTCCTTTAAACCAAAAACAAACAAAAAGACGGACAGGGCTCCTGAACGGTTCACTGCAGTGACGTCAGCTGATGTTACCTGGTTAGAGTCGTTCACCTGGACTCCGCCCACCAAGGAGGAGATCCGCCCTCTTCTTCTTCTGAAACACGTTTATATAAAGAACATACAGAGAGAGAGAGAGAGAGAGAGAGAGAGAGAGAGAGAGAGAGAGGTTTTAAAGTCACTGACCTCAGGGTGTGTGTGTGTGTGTGTGTGTGTGTGTGTGTGTGTGTGTGTGTGTGTGTGTGTGAACATATCCTGTTATATAACGGTAATATGATCAAGGTATTTACAATATCAGTTACACTGTGTGTAAATGTCATCCATCTGTGTGTGTGTGTGTGTGTGTGTGTGTGTGTGTGTGTGTGTGTGTGTGTGTAAATGTACTCCATGTGTGCCGGGTGTGAGCTCTCCAGCTGGAGGGATTTCTCACCAATAAACACACACACACACACACACACACATGCACTCACACTTGCTCACATACACACAGCTGTAGGGTCAAAGGTCAGGTGTAAGTCGGATGGAAACTGTCCCGGTCCATTTCCCCTCCTGTAATAGATGGGTGTGAGTGTGTGTGTGTGTGTGTGTGTGTGTGTGTGTGTGTCTGTGTGTCTGTGTGTGTGTGTTTTGTCTACAGAAGCGATCAGCTGTTTGTTTGTTTGTTTAAATAATTTAATTTTCAGCACTTTAGTTTCTCTTCAAGGAGAAAAACAAAACCTGACGATGTTCTGAGAAGGTTCCTGTGATCCGAGCTCCATAAAGACCTGGTCTGATCGTACTCAGGTCTTCTGTGATCCGTCTGACCCCCGACCTCCACCTTCATCCTGATCGACTCCTAAAAGGTTGTATCCTCCGATCGTAGCTGATCGTAACCATTCAACAAGAACAAGTGAAAGGTTTTTAGACGTCATTTCACCCCGATGACACCATGGATGAGGAGATGCTGATTCTAGAAGTCTAGAAGTAGATTTTCTCCTCTGGAAGGACACAATCTACTGCTTATATGTCTATGTGTCTGTCTTTAGAGAGACAACTCGTTATCGAGTGATTGAACGTGAATCTGAGGGTTCTTGTGAGTTCTCATGATTCCAGCTGTCAGTAATCCACCATTAAATTCACCTCACAAACAGATCCAGTATGAATTGTCGGACGCTGAAAATTGCCGCTCTTCCGGATGTGGTGGAAATCCCAGGTGAGGGCTGTTCAGGAGCAGGGTCAGCTCTGATCTGGATTAGTGAGAAGTCCAGAGTGTGGTCTACCTGAGAAAGAAGGACTGGAACCCTGATCAGACACGGATCACAGACAGAACTTTGTCGACGTTGACGGGTGTAAAGTGGATTTAGTTTTAACTCGACCCTCTTCAGAGCAGCAGGAGGACTTTAAACAGTTTTCTAAATCAGCAGCACTCGGGTAAATGAAGCCGTTTGTCTCGTTTCAGGACTCGGGGACAAACTCAGATCTACGCTCACAGGAATGTAGGTCATTCAGGGATTTAAGGAGGATAAAAAGTCCTAAAAACAGAGAATATAAAGTCAACTTCAGGTCAGACCTCGACACTGAGAACAAACTTTTACTTTTCCTCTTTTTTTCTTCGAGGTCACTGAGAAGTTTTCTCTTCATAGACGTCTGAATCCTGGAGTCCAGATTGGATTATGACATTTTCTTTATTCTCCTCCTCAGAGGAAGTTGTTGAGCAGATTTCCACAGGCACATAAACACGTTTTACACCACAACATAACTCCGTGAAAGTTATCGGAAACATCTGTGACGATAGCGAACCGGAGCGGGTCTGGATCTTAAATCTTTACAGACTAATGTGTGTCTGCGATCAGATCAAGCATCTCTTTGGAGGTACGATCGGGGCCAGGGTTCGACCCGCCAATGTGTTCTGGATTATTCCCACACAATAGATCCTGGTCTTCAGCCCTGATGGCTGCAGAGATGCAGGCCGCCGCTGACCGCCGCCGCCTGGTCCCCACCATCTTGTTTCCATCGTCTTGGCGAGACTTCGGCCTGCTGGAGGATGTGAGGAGGATGAAAACAAGGCCAGATGGTTTTTGATTGATTTAGTCTGAGTCAGAGAGGAAACACTGACTTCCACTTCTGCCTTTGTTTTTTCTCACACTGACTGACTCCCAGCCAAACGCCGCCACGAGCGGAGCGTCTGAAGGCCGGTTTCTGAGACCTGAACAGGAGGGACTCTGCTGACTCAGAACCTCAGGACCTTCAGCTCCATCCTGGAGGTCCAAAGGTGGAGAAGCTTCACTTTCCAGACTCCCCTCCAGCTCTGAACTCGTTTGTTTTCTTCATACCTTTAAATCTTTGGCCGACGAAGACCAACGCTCTGAAATGACCTCAACGTGTTCCAGCGTGAGAAAGAGGCTGACAAACGTTCAAACCGAGCCAACGAAGAAATCACATTAACGACCAAGTCCAAAACAAACACGGCTCATTACAGGGACCGGCGCCGAGAGCAGCAGCTGGGCGCCACCTTCGCCTCAGAGTCACGACCCGCCCTGTTTTTGTCACACCTCGACCGGGCCGGCGTGGGACCAAAGAGTCCGACTGGTCCGGGTCTTTGAGGTGGTTAACGTGGAAAAAGTGACGGTTAGGGCGTTCAGGTCTGAGTGGATCTGAGGTGACCGAGTCTCCGTCTCCTCAGGTGGAGCGTCCTCAAGAACCTCAGGTCAGTCCGGTCACCTTTAAAACCTGGACTACTGAGAACCTACACACACACACACTCACACACACACACACACACTCTCTGCATTAAAACCAGTAACCTGGTTCTGTATGAATACCATCTTTGTGTCCTTCTTCCTTCGGCTCGGTTCACTCAGGAGTCGGCTTTGTCCCGGTTCTACATGAGCGGCTCCGCTCAGAGTTCCTGCGAGGTAAATCTGAGGTCCTCTTTACTGTTTCAGGGTTTTGGACCGTTGAGGACCGTCGGTGTAAACACGACCGTACAATAGAGGCCTCTGAATGTTCCCCGGATCGCAGTATATCGGGTCACGAAGGGTTTGGTGGACCTGGACGTCCGAGTCGTCCTCCAGACTTTGACTCGTTGGTCTGTCTTTGATCACCTTCGTCTTACTCGCTTTAATTCGACGTATTTTTAACTCTCAAACCACAGCCCTTTGTTGGATGTTCTCAGCCCGTTCATGTGCCGTCTCTGTGACCGTCTGTCGTCTCTCTGTTGTTTCCTCTGAATGGTGTGAGGCCCAGTTTACCCGGGATGACCCTCCTCCCTCCCTCCCTCCTCCCTCCCTCCCTCCCTCCCTCGCTCAGTTGTTCTCTCTTTTGTTTCATGTGTGTTGTTCACTTTCTAGAGGTCAGTATGTTTCAAACACATGAGCAGAAACTCTCTGAAAAACTGGTCAGACAACGACGGACAGAGAATCGTCAACCTGCTTCGCTGTGTGACGATTTCAACGTTTTTATTTAACGATGAAAATGTTTCACCTGAGAGACACAAATAAGAAGTGGAGCATGACGGTGAACTCAACACCAAGTCCAGTTCACCATCAGATGGTCAATCTGAGGGGAACACATCAGCGCTGAAGACCGTGAGGTAAACCAGGACTCCGATCATCTGGGATAAACCTGAACCTGTTAGTCCTCCAGCCAGAGGGGGGCGACCTTTGAGAACTTCCTCCTCTGATAAATGACTGTAAGTTCACAAACGATCACGACAACAGTGGCGTCTCCTCACCTTCATATCTATGCAGATGACACTCAGCTCTGTGTCCAACTCCTCAGTAAGGAAAGCAGCTATTGGCTGTCCTAAAAGTCGCTAAATGAGGTCATCGCCTAATTTGCATAATTGGCCAAATTGTAATGGAGAGAAACAACGTCGAGGGAGAGAAACAGAGAGAGTAAAAAAGAGAGTAAAAAACACCCCAAATATGTTTGAACTACAAATGAACTTTATTCTGTCCATTCTTGTTTTTTTTTTATGTCTCTACACCAAAAACCTCCTCCTTTATCCGGGCTTTTCACCGACAGAAACGACCCAATTAAGACAATTTGTCAGAGTTACTTTAGTTTTTTAAAGTTTGGTTTGGATTTAAAAAACCAGCTTCACTTTAGCGCATTTCATTTGCAGTAGTCTGGATGCAGCTGGGAGGGACTGCTGTGACGGCGAGGACTGGGCCGCCTGTTAGCGCTGTGGGACGGGGGAGAGGATCACGGCAGAACACGCCGGAGGTGACACGTGCTTTAATGTCAGAGTCTCCAATGACACCACAAAAAGTCACTAGATATGTCTCGAGGGGTCTGAAACTCGCTAAATATACCGACAAAGTCGCTGAGTCGGCAACACTGTCTAATTAAGCGTTAATTTAATTTGACGAAAACGACTTTTTTTATTTGTTTTTCAAAACAAAGACGAAATAACGACGAGACAAAATACAGATAACAAAAACTCGGACAAATACGATTTTTGTTGTTGAGGTGAAAATGTTTCGTTTCTTGACCTGAAGGAAGATCATCCCTCTAAATGACCATAACAGGGACAGCACAGCAGCATTGCATTATGGGAGAGTCTAACCTTGATTATCTAATTAACACCACTGATGTGTCCTTCAGTAGATCCTGATCTGATCAAGATTAAGACTCAACATAAAGCTGAATGACTCCAGATCTGGAGTTTCCTTCACCCTGAAGACGGTCCACGTTAAGACCCGGTCCTCCAGCCTGGGTACCTTTTCTAAAACTGGACCCTGGACGTCTTCGTGGACTCTGAACTTTGACGCCCAGCTGACCACGGTCCTGTTTTCTCCTCTAACACCAACAAAAGACTCTAAACCTTCCAGGACTGAAGTCTGACCCGTCCCCTCGTCTAAAGATGGCGGGTCAACTGAAGGTGAAAATACCGCCAGGAGCAGCTTTCAGTCATCCAATGAAAACACGGACAAACTGATATCATTAGTGGTTCTTTTAACACTGGCGGGCCGACCCACTTTGACCCACTTTGACCCACTTTGACCCACTTTGACCCACTTTGATCCGGTAAAACCAGAACGAGGAAGAGGAAGCTGCTTCTTCTTCAGGATCAGGCTGTGACACAGTGAATGAGGAGGACATGTGTCTCTGTCTGAGTCACAGAGGACAAAACGTGACCGGCCTCAGTGGGGGGGGGCGGACCCTCTGCCGGGCTCTGACAGGACCTCGGCTTTGTTTGGTGAAGAACGCTGCTTCTGATCTCCAGCGCTCGCTGTCGGGGTTCAGGCCAGGGACGGGGGGAGGTCTGTGGGTTACAGTTGGACCGGGTCGGGCCTGAAGCTCTGAGGTACTGATGGAGTTCAGAGGAAGAAAGACGGAGAGACAGAAAAACAACATAGAGGTAGAGATGATAGAGTGGCTGTGATTGGAGGATGGCCCTGCAGCATGTGAACCAGACTGACCCAGACAGAGTCCGGATCCACATCACGACATTTTTAACGTGTTCGAGACAAACGGGCGACGTTTCCACCCGACCTTCTTCAGCAGGTCCACTCAGAAATCTTATAACGGGTCAGAGTTCGTGGTTGTTTTTACGTCGTTCACTCAGAAGTTCTGAAACACGACACAAATCTTAAAGGATCAGATTTTCACACAAAGGTCTGATCCACAGAAAAACAGCATCTCTGAGAGTCAGAACCAGAATCAGACAGAGTTCTGGGTCCTCTCCAGACCTTCTAGAAGAGGCGTCGGGGAAACGTCTTTTGTCCGTCCGTGTCCTCCTGCACCTTCATCCTTTTACCCAGACTCATGACTGCAGGTGAGGGTCGGACTCTCGGTTATCCGCTGAATCAGAACTTTTCCTGATCCATTTCCCGCTCACTCACGAACCCGGACCCAGAGGTAATAAAGTCCTTGACTCTCCCCACCTGGAGCGAGTAATCCTCTGTTTCCATCTCTGACCACGAGGCTCCGGTGTTCGGACTCAGCCGGACCAGATCTAATCCATGCACTTATTGATAATAATGAGTTATTGACTTGGTTCTGCAGCTGTTCTGGTGTGAGTTCAGTGATAATCCAGAACCTCCTCTCGTCTGTTTCTGGTTAAAGTGATCCGCTGATGGAACGAACCGTCTGCAGCTGTCGGTCGTGGTCGGGTGTTGAGTGTCGGGACGTCCGCGGTTCGAAGGTGACTCACTGTTCCTGTTTTCAGCTGTAATGACGCTCATTAAAACCACACCCTTCACTCGCCTCTGCTGTGTCGGATCAGAACCTTTTCCCTGAACACTTCTGACCCCGTTTAACTCTGTGCACTAAAGTCCTTCTGGTTTGATCCTCCGTCACAGATTTTAAAAACAGACTCCAGATCTGGATCAGTCCTCGGTCTTTATTTCAGTTTGATTCTTTCTATACGAACAAAAACGACGAGTGAAGAACCTCAGAGATGATCATCAGACACTCGGCACCGTTTACAAAGTGGAGCTCTGTTTCCCTGAGTGTCCCGGTGTTAGGATCCACACTCAGTGTTCTGGTGTGGGATTTAGGCAGAGTCAGGAAAGTTCATATTCTGTCTGAACTCGTTCAAAGTTCAGTTCATCCTTCATAATTTCATGTTTCCCAAAAATAAACTCATTTAGTTCTTTTTTTTCTCCAACACTTTGCTTTAAGTTTTTATTTGTCCAGATTTTTGACAGAACCACAGACAGATTATTTTAACCCTGAAACTCTGTCAGATTATCTTCATCTCCTTTTTTTAATCCTAATCTAACAGGTTTACAGCAGAGAGGTCAGTCCTCAGGTGTCTCCCTGATGTTTAGTTCAGTCCTCACTAACGTTCATCTCTAGAGTTTATTTTCATAAATATGAGGAAAACCTGCTGCTGGATGGTTTTAGACTCTTTATCAGGATTACAACAACAACAACACGACTGAAGTCCTGAAGTTTATTTTACTTTTTCAAACCGACCAGGAAACAATTCACAACAAATTCAGTTTCAGTCGGACTGAAGAGAACCAGAACAAAGACTGGAAACAACAAGAACAGGGAACTTTAATGATATTGTGATCTAATATCTGTTTAAGGTTCCCTGAAGACGTCGTCGATGTTCGGTCTTGCTTCTTCAAACCAGGCGGACAAAGTTTACACAGAAAGGTTCGATTTTTACGTCTGTGTCGTAGTTGACTTTTACATCAAACTCTTTGAAATGTTCAGACGAGTCTGTGCGCTCCTCCCTCGTCCATCATGTTTACCAACGTATTTATCGGAGCGACAGACAGGCTGTTTGCTGTTGTCAGACTGGGTGTCTTTCCTCTAAATATGAAGGTCTGTTTACGGCGTGTTTTAGTGTTTTAGTGTTTTAGTTTGGGTTTCTCCTGAAAGACTCTGGACATCTGAGACACTCGTGAACAGAGTTTAGAACGCCGCTACAGACGCCAGAATGAGCGCGTTCAACATCAACGTGTTCATGCACAAATAAAGAACGATACATTCACGTTCGCCCGAGTTCATGAATGATCGTCCACTGAACGTGTTCAGGAACAACACTTCATTTACGGACTCCTGCAGGGCGGTCTTCAGGGACCAGAGTCCACATGTAGGTCTAAAAATGGACTCTAAAGTGATTTAAAACCAGTAAAAGCATCAAACTGGTGAACGTCCTGTTAGAGAAGACAGATCTGACCCCCCTCTCTCCAGTGAAACCAGACCAGGACCAGGGAGCTGCTGGTCTACCTCTATGACTGTTTTAGTTCTCAGTTCCTGTGCGGTCTTGGCGTTCCCAGACGATGTTTTTCTCACCCTCATGATTCTTCGCTGACCTCCGCGTCATGATGGACGTCTGATCCGTTCTCCTACACAGACTTCCTGGGATCCCTCTTCATAAACGGACTCTGCAGGTGGACTCGGACTGAACGCCAAACCTCCTGTCAGTCTGAAGGCGGCGTTTGGAGCCGGACCAGCGAGCTGGGCCTGAATCAGGTCTTCAGACGGCGGTCCTTGTTGCAGTAGAACTCCCTCCTGTGACGCTGACAGCTATAGTGCGTCCTGGAGTTTAATGAGGCGGGCTCTCATGACTCCAGAATAATCGGTTTATAAAGATCGTCTTTTTCCGATGTTCTCCTGTTTGTGTTTCTCTGACCTGAACGGCTCGAGTTCATCAGACCCTCCTCCTCCTTTTCTTCTTCAGTCGTCATGACAACACACCTGATGAGATTTTCCTTCGTACAATCCATCATCGGCTGAGAGTGAAGACGTCGCCGCGCCCTCGGACGGCGGCCGCAGGTTCTCATGTTGAAACCGAAGCAGGTTGAAGAGCGTCAGAGTTTGATTTTGGCAGCTGGCTGAGCGCTTTCCCAGCCGACACTTCTGCGAGGAAACAGGTGTGTTCCTCATAACGCCGCTTTGTTTCCATTCTTCCTCTCCGTCTGTTTTATCCTCCTCCCTCCTGCTCGCACCGCTGACAGCCTCGGCCCACGGCGCCGGTGGCGTCACCTCTGCTCGGGGACCGCAGGGACCGGTGTGAACTGGCAGACTGACACCGGTGTGTGAACGCAGTGATGGACTTTTCTCATGTTGGAGTTCAGCCTCCTCCAGTCTGAGGGAAGTTTACTCTGACGTGACTGGAGGGATCGCTGTCAAAGCAGTGCATTGTGGGTAGTTTCACCTCGCGCTGAATTCATCAACTGTATTAATAGTTTATAACTTCTGACTGATCTGGATCTGATCTCAGAGGTGCGGTTTGTCATATTTGACCCTCTTTAGTTTTCATTGAGCAGCTTCTCCTACGCCGACGCCGCCGTCTTCGCCGCCATCTCGCACTGAGCGATCAGGGTGAACAGCGCCGAACACAGAGGAGGCGTGTGCCTGTTTCCATCGACCTTCCTTAAGGGCGGGATACACGACGGCCCACGCCAAGGTGGAGAACTTTTGACGGGACGTTCAGAGAGACTCAGTATCTGTGTTTCATGGACCGGTTCTGACCCGGTTTCACTCCAGACCACGTGGACAAAGAAAATAAAGTTCTCATTTATCAGGAAGAACCGAATGATGGGGAGAGAATCGGACTTTTACGAGCAGTTTGACCTGGTCGCCGTCTGAGTGAAGGTCGATGATCGTGGCGTCTCTGCTGGATCGTTTCCTCTGACAGAAACGACGACAGGGCGAAGGAAGGAGGGGAAACAAGAGGAGTATGGCAACTTTACCATGGCAACGGGGAGTACACATCCGGTCCAGACTGGAGGCGACAGGTGTGTGTGTGTGTGTGTGTGAGTGTGTGTGTGTGTGTGTGTGTGAGGGTTTTCTTTCTACTTTGCTACACTTGCACAGAGCAGTGCATCGTGGGTCGCAGCTGCTTTAATGTCAAATCCAGCTGCTGCAGCTGAACCCCCTCCTCCTTTTCTCTCTCTCTCCCTCTCTCTCTCTCCCTCTCTCTCTCTCTCTCTCTCTCTCTCTCTCTCTCTCTCTCTCTCTCTCTCTCTCTCTCTCTCTCTCTCTCTCTCTCTCTCTCTCTCTCTCTCTCTCTCTCTCTCTCTCTCTCTCTCTCTCTCT